AAGCCCTACCTTTTGGTGACAATATGGATGAATCTGGAGGATGATTCAGCGAAATAAACCAGACAGGGAAAGAGAAATACTACATAATCTCACTTACACATAAGTGGAATCTAGCACAGAATTCATGGAACCACACAGAACAGTGGTTTCCAGGGTCTAGTCAGGAGAATGGAGAAAAATCGGTTAAAGGGTCCAGGGGTGTCCAACATTTTGGCATCTCTGGGCCACACTGGCAGAAGAGTTGTCTTGGGCCACACATTAAATACACACACACTAATGAAAACTGATGAGCAAAACAAAGGTTTTAAGTAAATTCATGATTTTGTGTTCGGCCACATTCATAGCCATCCTGGGACTCATGTGACCCTTGGTTGGACACCCCTGTAGGATGAGTAAGTTCTGGGGCACTAATGTATGGCATAGTGATTATATTTAACAATACTGTATTGTGTACTTGGAATTTACTAGGAGAGGTCTTAAGTGCTCTTACCACATCAAAAAGTAAAAAAAAAAAAAGGAACTAGATGAGGTGATGGATGTATGAATTCACTTCAGATAATCATTTCACAATGTATATATATATCAAACCATGTTATATTCCTAAGTATATACAATTTTTATGTATCGATTAAGCTTTAATAAGTCTAGGAAAAAATAAGTTTAGACAAGTGATATAAACAAACTAATCGACACATTTAAAATGAAACTCCTGTTTTTCTCTAGCAGTAGGTCAACTATCAAAGTAAAAAAAAAGTCTTAGATTTCTTGGAAAAACATGGATATTAAATAAAAAAGGGAGAAGCAAATAGAAGTTAGCAAGTTAGCAGGTGATACACTTTTCTATCTTTTGACATATTCTCGCTGCTTCTTAGTAACTACAAGACAAAATGTAGAATCTATATTTGTAATTGAAATATTACATTGGGTTGGCCAAAAAGTCCGTGTGGCTTTTTCCATGAAATACAAGGAATATTTTTCGTTTTCACCAATAGCTTTATTCCTTTGGGTATTTTGAGTATGTTTGCTATCTCCCACGGGATATAACATTGATTGTTCTCAATTAATGTCTTGATTTGAATGCTATCAACTTCAGCCAGTCTACCTGGAAGCATCCAGGGAGAAATCTCCAGCACAAAACTTCACAAACCATTTTTGACATGTTCAATCAGTCACAACACCTTCTCCATACACTGTAAATCTTTTTTTTTTTGCGTTTCAGTTCCTTTTTACTTTTCTTGTAATAATAAAGTATTATATGTGTAGGGTAAACAGAATCAGTCAGTCTGGCATCCTTATCCAGGTGTCTGGGCAACTAAAGGAAGCAGTTTCCTATAACCTTGAGAATGGGCCTGCTAAGCTGTGTTCTCATAGCCTTGAGACTGGATCTGATAAAGGTTCCCATAGCCTTGAGTGGGCTCTCATGTGCAGCATTGAGGTACGTTACGTAACGTATTGGCTTTCTGCCAGCTTTGTTTGTCTCTAGTACTTAAGGGGGTAGGAGCTCCCTGCTGGGTGCCACACTAGGACACAGGTGACATGCAGTGATACATGCAGGGGGATGTGCGGCTTGCATGTGCGTGGATCACCCACCCTTGAATAAATGCATGTCAGACATTCCAATGGCTCCGTGAATATTCTTCCATCTGCCCAAATTACATGAACCTGCCTGGCTTTGAATGGTCACAACACAATATGTCAAAAATGTTGCCTATTTTCTTCTGTCTTCAATATTAAAGTGGCTATATGAAAATTCACCAATTTTGATTGATTTTAAATGTACGCTGATATGACAGCTGTCATAATACAATCTAAGAAAATTGTTTTGAATGAAGTTAAATACAACTAAGTGCTAGTAGAGCCATCTTATGGAAAAAACCAAATGAACTTTTTGGCAAACCAAATACTATGGCAAAATACTTAAGCATGTCACATGCCTAAGTCACATGCTTCAAAATAAAATTTCATTTGCCATACAGACCATTTTAACCATTCCCCTAAATTGAAAAAACTTGCTTTAACTAGGGATCAACAAGCACAATTAGATAACTCTAGTTTAATAATTTTAATAATTTGAATAATAATTTTAACAATTTAATAATTTAGAATTTTTAATAATTCTAGTAATTTTAATAATTTGTAATAGAAAACTGAAAATTTTTCTCAAAACTCAAGGAAAAGTGTGTCTTTGCCTTTCATCTAAGAAGAAATACATAATCTTTCCAAGGTTAACACAGATGGTAAACTTCTTTTCAAGTCTTTAGCTAAATGAATTTTAAAGATAACCCATCTTAGTTTTGGTATGATACTACCCAGCATAGTAAACTTATTTATACAATACTTGACTATACAATACTTTTCCAAAATAAAATGTCTGGCTTTTACACATCACGGTTATTGGTGGACAGGCATCCAAACTCTATTCTCCCATGTAATATCTTCCTTCCAAGCTTTTTGGTCTGTCTGCTGTTCACCCTGTATGTTCTCCTTGGTGCATGTATATTTGCCTTTAAATGCTTTGGCAAACCCCACCCAGGGGACTACTTCACAACTGAGCAAGTTGGAAAGTGGTAAAAGAAAGCCTAGCCCCAGGGCTGACCTGTCAGGTCAAAAGTACTATTATTTTAGAAGAAGGTCCATATGATTCCCTATTCTGGTACCAGGAATGCAAGGTCCCTGCAGCATCCTCAAAAAGGGAGTGGGGAACAGGGAGTGAGTAAACTAAACCGCCATAATTCTTATTGAAATTCAGCAGCTTCTTTCTTCACTAAACAATCCCCTGGGGGTTTTCATGAGATTATAGAATTCTGAAAAAGTTATTCTAACAGATTTTGCCAGTTTAGTGGAGGCCTGCAGTTTATAAACTCCCTATTTTACCATTTTTGATGGCATATTCCTCCAGCAATCTTAACATAATAAATTACAAATACTGACCTCAGATGTTCTTTGGTTACTTCTTACTGGTTACATTTCCCAGAGGGCCCCTGTCAAACCACAAACTTCAGTACTTTTTTATTAGTAGTAAACAAATATTTCAAGTCAACTCATAATTTCTCATGTATTGCAACAATAGAGTCAAAAATCCTTTTTATATAATCCTAGCAGTGGAATTGCTGGGTCAAAAGGCTGGTCCATTTTTAGTTTCCTGCGAAAATTCCATACTGTTTTCCATAGTGGTTTTATCAGTCCGCAATCCCACCAACCCTGAAACACCAATCCAAAAGAACCTATGCAGCCCAATGTTCACAGCAACACAATTTACAATAGCCAAGTGCTGGAAGCAACCTAGGTGCCCATCAGTAAATGAATGGATCAAAAAACTATGGTACATTTACACAATGGAATTCTATGTAGCAGAAAGAAAGAAGGAGCTCCTACCCTTTGCAACAGCTTGGATGGAGCTGGAAAGCATTATGCCAAGTGAAATAAACCAGGCAGTGAAAGACAAATACCATATAATCTCACCTTTAACAGGAATCTAAACAAAAAAAACAAAGGAACAAGCAAAAAATAACCAAAGACACTGAAATTGAGAACAGACTGACAGTGACCAGAGGGGAGAGGGGAGGGAATTTCAGGGGAAACGGGTGAATGGTTTGCAGGAGCAAGTACAGACACATGGACAATAACAAGGCGGGGAGTAGAAATGGGAGGGAGGTGGGGAGGGTTGGGGGGATGGGCTGAGATGGGGGTAAAAGGCAGAAAACTGTACTTGAACAATTAAAATTTTAAAAAATCCTTTTTATAAGGATTCAGAAAGTCTCCCACTTACACTAATCGGGTCATGGCCACAAGACACAGCTTGCCTGGAAGCCATACATTAAATGGCATATTCTTTAGGGACTAAATAGAAAAGCCAAGATTGGGTCATAAGTACAGAGGATAATAAACAAGGATATCTAACCAATATTTTTTACTTTACAGATAAGGAAAGTGGAGCTCAACGACATGATTCAATTCCAAGCTCATTCCATTCCACTGCACTGTGCTGCCAACATGTTTAGCTTTTTAGTTAGGCAGGAATGTACTTCACTGCATCCTTTCCACTGTTCTTTCCCCAAACCAAATCAAAAAGTTACCAAATGGTACTTGTTGAGTGCAAAAAGATTACATATGCGAGGTGTTATACTGCAAGAAATGGAAGTTTTGTGCTTTGGGTTTTTAATGTCTTTAAATAATGAGGAAACTTAACCCAGAACATAAAGTTTATATTACAAATGAGAAACCAGAAAAAAGTGGTTGCTGAAAATGCATTTTTCCTGGCTGGTCTTGTGTGTGTATATATTTTAGAAAGAAAATAAAAGGTACCCAACACTGTTTTACTCCTGCTTTCCTCAACTTAGACATTTATATTACACAAAGTCATTTAAAAAATTTCCTGGGGAGAAATCATTAAGAGCACAAAAATCACAAATCATCCCCTCATATGCTTAATCTGATGGTCACTTATTGTATCTATGTATTCCTTATACTAAAATTGGAATTCTCAGAAAGTCAAGAGAAATGTATGCCAATCTGAACCAATTACTAGAAAAACAGGAGCTTTATAAATCTCATTCTGTATAAATGCTTACTGAGGAAGACTTTTCTATCATTCTTCCATTTAATTTTGTCTCCCTTCAATTTCACTTCACACTTGTGAGAAAATGCTTATGTGAACTGTCCCTGGTAAATGTATCTTACAGAAATACCTGAATAAGTATTTATCACCAGTAATCTGCACATAGTTACAAATCAATAAAATTATTTCACTAAATGTACACACTAAAAGGCAGATGATTCACTTTTAACCTTAAGTTATGTTGGAATGAAATATTAAGATACCCACAATCCTCTGACTGGCTATAATTTTAACAGTTTGCTAAATAGGGCATTTGAAACTCAGTATTTACATAATAGCTTCTTTGACATAGGGCCTGTTGAAATTATGTACCAAGTGCTTCATGTGTTACCAATAAAGAACAGAGCAAATAATAAAGAAATCATGAGGCTCTACCAAATAGTTTAGAAAAACAAGTTTTCTATTTATTTAAAAATAAGTTTGTAGTTACTACATTGCAGGGACAGGAATTCTTACACATACATTCTAGTATAAAAGGATTCAAAGAATTATGCATCAAAACTAACATAGAAAGTGTCCACATAACAGTAAAGAAAGGTCCAATCAATATGTACAGAAAGAAGGGGCACTGCTATTGTGGTGTGAGACCGCCATTTATAAACATGATACTCCAGATTTCTGGAAGAAAATAACAAAAACCTCAATAGAGCTAAATAATTAATTTGTCTTTAAACTCTGTTACTTATTACATACAACAAATTTGCTTGTGTTTAACATTTTCTGTACAAAATAAGCATAATTTTAATTTGAAAATGTGTCAGTTTCAACTTTAACCCTCTAGGTCAGTTACTTTTTAAAATTGAACTACATTCTACATGTCTAAATATTGTGTGACAGGATTTAAGTTTTCTAAAAAATCCTTAATAAGATCCCATGTCTTGCAGTTTTAATATGGTCCAAAAATGTAACTTTGTATTTTATCTCAATTTATAGTTTATCATTGTGATTAATCAATACGCATAATCTTAAAAGTAACAAGCATACGTGTGCATCTGCACCATATATGTGTACTATATATCATCTCAAACCTACTCCTGTAGTTCCTTAAATGAAGAAACTCATAGCCATCCACTATATGTATTTGGTTTGTGCCATATAAGGTTGGTTAAATTTCCTGATGATTTTATCTGCATTAAAAAAGTATTTCAACACAGAGCTATCAGAACTAAAAGTAAGTGTTTATAGCTCATATTTTCTAATTGTTACTGTAGTGTGTACAAGGTTTATCTCTGGAGTGTCAAAAGTGGTACCTACAGGTTTCTGATTCAATTTGACTACTTCTCAGGTACTGTACTTAGTAGGAAATGACTTTTCATTTGGAGTGATTAACTCAGGATAATTAGGAACAAAAATAGTTTCTTAGTAATTGTAGTATTTAGTTCAAATCACTTGGAAATTTAAGGAACTGAGGATAAATGCAATGGGAAAAGAATGGGAAAGGTCTATTTTCCCAATTTTGATAGGAAAATAAATTCTCACCTAAATATAACTAAACCATTTCTTAATCTATTATGTGAAATAAAAACTACTTTCTAAGAATGGGGGTAATTCACAGAACATAAAAGTACTTCCCCTATTATGACTTTTAAAATTATATATTTCCTGCATATAAGGAACACACAGCCCTTTAAATACTTAAGTATCTTGGTCCTTTCAGTCTACTCAAAAGTAAGTTTCAGATGAAGGAAAATATTCAGAATAATAATTTGTTTTCATTACATAGAAAACTGAAAATCAAATTGCTTCCAGTTGACATTTGAGAGATACAGGTATGCTGGTATGTATAAAATGGAATGCCAGAATTAAAGTAAACAATATTAACTGGATGAGCTAATTTACATTACAAATCATATTTTAAAACATGTAAATGTTGCTAATATCACATAAGCAAAAATGTTATTTGAATATACTTTTACAATGTCTAATTAGTCTACTGTACTACAGAAAAGGGACAGTTCTAGATGTGAACACAAATATGCCACATGAGGATTGTTTTGCTGATCTGTGTATCTTACATAATCCATTTCCAAGTGATACTAAATTTTGCCAAGTTCATGTCTCAGATGTGACCCAAACTCACAAATATTCCATATGGTTATTGTGATTAAATTTGAGGATGACAGTTTGGTGAAAATTAGTCTTCAAATTTGTAAAGCTGTGCAGTAATAAAAATAATGGAAACAAGACCAATAAATCTTTACTACATTAATATATGCAGAAAATAGTCCAACGCCATAATAGCAGACCACGAAAGATAGTATTTTAAGAAAGTATATACCTATTGCCCAGTTGTGATCCTGTAATTAGATTATATTTTCAACTGCTCATTTGCAACATCTTAGAATTATTTAAGATTTGACAGGGATTTGAGAATGTTGTGATGAACGGAGAGAATATTAGGGTTAGGTACTTAAAAATACATAAATTGATTTACAATTTCCATGCATGTAACAGGTTATATTTTCAAAATTTTCAGTAAATTTGAGTTTTTTTATTGCTCACCCAAGACAACTGCCAACATTTCCTTTTACTTATAAACAGTACATACATGGAATCACTGTCTCAAAGATGATATTTTCCAAATGGTCAAACAAAACAAAAATATGATGGTGACTTAAATTTCTCAATTGAACTTCTGCAATGTATAGAAGCTAAATTATAAAAATATAAAATCTAGATATATCTGGTATTACTAATACATTTTTAAGTGTTTCAATTACAAATAATCTCATCCAAGTCATTTTTGCTTTACTAAGAAACCAGTGTCTAATAATGTCCAAATAAGGTCATAAATATACAGTGTCTTTAGAACAGGAGTAATACATTTACTTGCTGCACGTAAAATGGTAAATACTCGTTTCTTGCTCAAGAGTTATAACTAATCCATACACTGTAGTAGAGGTATATTCTACTCAGACTGTGTACGTGCTTCCTTTTTCTGTACACACTTTAAAACTGTACACATTTTTTACAAAAATGGATTTATAATCTATTATTTTTTTTCTAACACAATGCAGATAACATCAGGAAATTACGTTTCAAATAGATTGCCTTCAAAAGCAACAAATTACTTTAATGACAAATTTCAAACGCATACACTATTATTTTCAATAATGGTGTAACTGAAAGACTCATTTTACTATACAACCAAGCCATCCATTTCTGCATTATGAAGAGTTCAGCTACTGAATTTTAATTATATAGTAAATATATTTGTTAGAAAAAAATAAATATACAAAAACCTGAAAAATTTGAAATTATTTTTCAACTGCAAAATCACAGCAATCCAGTTAAGATCTGGAAAATGGTTTACTTAATTTCACAGGATTTCTGTACAAATTTAGTTACAAACAATTTAAAAAGCCCAAATGCACTGCTTTCCATTCGTCTTCAAAACAATTAAATGACAGCTAACTTTATCCCTACCAGAAATAAGTAGAGAAATAATTATGTAATGTGTTTTGCCACGGTTCAATTAAAGTCTTTATTTTTCCACATTAGGGTCATACTAATACATATTTTCTCATCCTCACTTTAAAAAAAAATGTAGTATCTGAAAATTTTGGTTACATTTTTATACCATACCAGTCCTCAGAAAATACTACATTCTTTCAACTTTTTAAAAATGGGCAATAATTTTTAAACAATAGAAATGGTATTTATGTTGGTTTTTAAGGTATAAAATAAGTAATGTACCATAAACAAATAAATAACTGCTTTCCTTTTCCATAGCAGTACATATAGCAATACATTCTCCTAAGTCATATAATTATCATTTACAATAGACAACTTAATTTTACTAATGATGCAAAAAATAATAGAATACAAGGCACAATCATTAAATGGAACTTTTCTTTAGGGTGTATATTGACATACCAGCGTGATAAGGATACCGTAAAAAGTGCAGAAAAAACACAATGTGCAATGAGACCACTGTATAAAACATGATTGCATAAAAAGTGATTTGGCCTATTTTAACGTTTAATAATTGAAAATAACCAATCTTCCCCTTAAAATTAAACTATAAAGTATGACATTTTAAAATTATTTTTATTCTACCACTATCTAAAAAAATCCTGAAGAAAAGAATTTATACCTGGGTAATAGTATATAAGTATGTGTTTGTATATATATTTAATTATACCCATTTATCAATATATACACACACACACAGACATATTTCTTTTTAAATCATTTTAGCCTATTAGATATGTCTAAAGTTTAGAAATGACATTAATCCAGATCAATAAGTAAACATCAAATCCCATACCTTTTTCCTGTATTTTCCTTGAATCCTTTAACCACTTAAACACTTTATCTAAAACATCTCTGTCAAAGGACCCACCAGTGCATTATTTTCTACTATTAGTACCAAAAAAAGATACATCTCAGCATAACTCTTTAATAACTTGCTCTTTAGAATAATATATAGCCTTTCCAATATTGAAAAGTGTATGCTGTCCTGACAGTCAAAAACAGGCTTCCCACTGCACTGATTCTCAGTCTTTGGCACAATAAACAGAGATTGAGTGATTGATACAAGAATCAAGGTCTGAAAAATTAGACAGTCAAATGTTTTCCAATGTGGATACGTTTCCTTTTCATCAGTACATTTTCTCTTATGTTTGGCAGAAATGGAATACAGCAAAAGCCTCCTCTAGATTCTTTGTAGATCAACATTGTGTAATTAAAATTAAACTCTTTATGGTATCAAATTGTGGAATTTTATATTTATCTTTAGAGGAAACACATTTCTTAATTTACCGCTGCTCTGGTAACATATGTCTTCCTGGGGGGGGGGGGGGGGGCACAACTTCTATATCAATAGAAATGTACTTGGCTTGGTCAAAAATAATTCGCTTTAACATGAAATGCTCTATCACTAGGAATATTACGCTCCTTAAAAATGTAGCAGAACTGTCTTTTCCAGAAATAAACTGGGAATTCATTGTAGGTCCTCAATTCTTTTTCCCCCCAACAGTGAATGAAATGAATATTGAAATGCATAACTATCTAAGGGTAATAAATAGCAAACATTTAAAATATATATGTATATATTTATATATATTCATTTAAAGAAGTGAAGTGTCTTATAAGTTTGTTTACTTTTTTTTTTTTGCAAATCAAATCATAACATTCCCTAATCCACCACAGCAGCAAGGAAGCAGAAGCCTTAGTTCTACATATTCCTTTACTGTACCTGCTTTATGATTCTGAAGTAAAATAGTCTGGTACATATTACCAACCAATTAAATTAGCTTTCGCTTTTTCAGTCAACTTTCGGACTCGTCCTCTGCTTGAAGTTCCAAAAGTCAAAGAGGTGTCTTCAAACAACAGCTGCCTTTGCTCCTCTTCAGAGTCATCCTCATTATAGAAAGCTGTCCTTCGACCTTGGTTTCTAGTTCTCATGTGGGGTTCAGAGCCTTTAAGATCTTCAAACTCTTCTTCCTTATCCATGGGATCATCTGTCTTTTTTCGGTTACTTCTCCTTAGCATTTTAACACTTGTGGGAACTATGAGATCTGAGTCTAGTTTTTGTGTCATCTTCCTTTTGGGTTTTCGGCCTCCACGACTCTTTTTCTGTAACAAATCCTCCTGTACAGTATTAGTTTCAGAAAGGAAATTGCAAGTTGAAGAAGGAACTACTTCATCTCTGACAGAATGCACATTATTTTGCTCTGCAGTTTCTGGCTTTGCATACTGTAGCTTTTTGGGCTTTCGACCCCTTTTCTTGTGTATAAGTTCACCACTACCAGTATTAATTTCTACCTTAGGTTTCCTTCCAGGCCCCCTCTTCACAAGTTTAGACGGCTGCCCTCCATGGCCATTCACTTGAATGCTTCCTGGTATAAGAGCATTGTTCTTACAATCTGTTAAAAGGAAACAACATCACACTTAATATATGGAATCGCTTTTATTTAACCCTCAAACAAATCAATAGGGTCACTGCTATAGTTACACATAATGACACAATCCTAAATACTTTTTTACTACTAATAAGAAAAAAAGACAAAAGGCTCGCAGTTTAATATGATTTACAGACATACCTAATTGTATTGTTCCTCATTTCAATGCATCTCTCAGGTAGAGCCTTCTTATTTTTTTTTTTTAACAAATTGAAGGCCTTGGCAACCCTGCATCAAGCTATTGCGCCATTATTTCAACAGTCTCAGAGAATAGTTAGCATTTTTTAGCAATAAAGTATTTTTAAACATTATTTTCTTTAGACATAATGCCACTGCACATTTAATAGACTACAGTGTAGTACAGACATAATTTATACACACTAGAAAGCCACACAAAAATTTGTGTGACTGGCTTTAGTGCCACCTTAGCTTTATTGAGGTAGTCTAGAACTATCTCAAATAGCACTATCTCCAAGGTATGCCTGTATGTATGCCACCATTATCACGACTAAACCCCCACTGTAACAATCTCCATAATAAAGGCCATTGTGCTTTATTTAAAAAAGTTTTTCTGAGAGATCAAACTCTAAATATGTAGAGATCATGATGCGCCTTTCTGTAGTTAAAAAAATCTATTACCCTTTCAGTTGAAAGAAAAGACGACATACATGCACTACCACTAACTTTTTTCCCCCCAAATTCTGAAGTTTTTGTTTGTTTGTGGTGCATGATCTGCAACGCAATAAGGAAATCCATAGAAATGGAAACTGCTTTTAAAGAGAAAGCTTCTTCATAACGGTATTTTTGTCACAGGTTGGAGTTGTACTTCAAAAATATCAAGAAAAAAACCCATCAAGAGACTCACAAAATGTCAGAGCCAGTAGCAGAGAAGGCAAAGCCCTCATTTCCTGACCCCCAAAGTATAAATGATTTTCTTTAGATTGCTGGTTTTCTATAATGATGAGGTGGGGAGGAGGGCAGGAGAGAAGTGTGTGAGAGCATCAAGTAGTTAAGCATTTTCTAACAAACAATTATACTTAATCTGCCTGAGAGTTCTCTAGATCTTTTCATTTGTTTTCCAGTAAGACTACTAACAAGGGTTTTAAATATCCAGTCCACGTACCCACTATACAAGTTCTACAGCTGGGATTCAAGAACTCCAGGAACGCCTTGAAATGGTCCAAATTTTGTGTGGATATGCCTATGTGCATTTTCTGGGAAAAGGACTAGAGGTTTCATCAACTTCATAAAGCAACATATAACCTAAAAGGTTAAGGACTAATGCAGTTCTCTTAAAAAGGAATTCAAGAGCTTAAAAAAAAAATGAAAAGCCACTGATTTGGACCTGCACTGTCCTGGTAGTTAATAACCATGTGGCCACTGAGCATTTGCAATGTACCTATGCAATAGAGAAACTGAGTTTTTAATAAAATTTAAATTTGAAAACAGAAGCAGCATACATTTCGAAATATTGATTACATGTTCAAATGATAATATTTTGGATAAGAGAATAAAATATATTAGGAAAATGGATAATTTTATCTGTTTGTTGTTACTAGAAGTAGCCATTAGGAAATTTTAAATTACCTATCTGGTTTATTTTTTACTGGACAGCACTGCTCTTGACTCACGTAGTTAATTCAGGTGTCAATATTTATATAATAAGTTATCATTAATGATTTATTTAATAGTTAATTGTATTTCCACACTGTACTGGTACTCTTATGTATTTGTAATGTTCAAAAATCATAAATCAAATTGGCTACTGGACCTCCCCTACTGTAATGTCAGTACCAATTCACAACATGCATTTGATTTCACTAAGATTCCATAGTGATAAAAGCAAGGCCAATCTACTATTTAAAACTTTTAATTCAGTTCAGAAAGGAAGAAAATCTAAAACCCTTATATACAAAGTCATCTTCCTATTTATTGAATAATTAGACACAGGAATTCAGATACTACTGTAGATAGACACATGTAAAAAAATAGTAATTCAACAGTTTACCTGCCACAAAAGGCAATGAACAGGGTGTTCTGGGAATATAAAGTGCTTGACTTTGTCTAAAGAACCCAGGAGATGGCTTCCTGAAGAAGATGACATTAAAAAGATTTAAAAGGAAACCATTAAACTAGAAGGAAAGACATCCCAAAGGGAGAAAACAAGACTGATGTTCAGGGACTTTCAAGTGGTTTAGGATGGCTGGGACATAAAACAGGGAGGCAAATAAGCAAAGCTGGAATATTAGGTACCAGACAAGTAATGAAGAATCCTGTATAATATGCACAAATGTCAAAATCTGATTCCATGTATGACTGGAAAGCAGGGAAGGATTTTGAGTGTGCATGTGCCTTTACACTCTGTACCAGGAGAAAAATGATCAGAAAGATTGCTTTGGCTGCAGCATGGAAGATGGACTGGGTAACAAAGAGTTAAGAAATGAAGCACAGAGACTAGTTAGAAATTAAGACAACAGTCCAGGGAAGAAACTCTGTAAGCCTGAATTAAAGAAATGGAAGTGAGAAGGGAGAGGAGGGTAGAAGCTTTAGAGATGTTAAAGAGACAGCAACAACAGACGTCAGGTAGATCCAGATGCTGAAGAGAAGGCTGGAATGACTCCCTGATTTTAAGCTAATGTCTGTTCATAGATCCCAACACCATTAATCAAAATGAGGGCACTTCAATTAACATTTAAATGAGAGGTTTCTGGGAAGAACATTGAAGATGAAATGGTTTAGATACAATTGGAATCCAGATACAAAATGCTTATCGTTGAGGAATCTGTTGACAATAAGCCATAGTAGTTTTAACATGTCACAGGGTATATTTATATCATTTACCTTCATCTTTCAAGCATAATGCCCTTATAATGAAAATCTGCAGGTGAAAGAACTTGGAAGGATAAGTGTAAATGGCCAAAAAGTGTGTGCTAGTATAGAGGGTCTGGCTGTAGACAACCCTAATGAATTGCTACTTAGTAAAAAGGTTGATGTGTTGAATTTTGTGATGAAGTAACAACTAATTTTTATAAAAAAGTGGAGAATGCTATATGGATTAAGGAAATCCAATTTAAACTTCTTGGAAATATTTTTTTTTTAGATTCTGTCATCATGAAGTTAAAAACTAATTTATATCCTTAAAAGCTTTTGATTCTACAATTTGTTTTCATTTCCATATATAAGTTTTTTTTCTTGGCCTTTAAAATAACACAGTTTGCTTTTGGCACAAAGCTGAAAATCAAAAGATGTTTCACTAAGTTCATCTACTAATACAGATGTGACTTTTAAATGAGCAACCTAAAAAGTTGATGTAAGTGCTAACTTCAACAAATGCATCATTTCAAAGAAAGACCTACTACTGTATCTTGAAAGATACAAATTAACACTTACCTTGTTCAATGATAGTTGATGACTTTGAAAGAGTGGATGTCCTGGAGAGCACAGATGATTTCATTTTACGTTTGACTGGCTTTTCCTTTTCCAAATTTTCTTTTGCAGAATTATTCCTAGTGTCATGACTAAAGCTGGATTGAGCAGGACTTGAAAGAGTATTCAAGGTTTTGGAATGTTTCACAGAATTCTCTAGAACTAAAACACACACACACACACACACACACACACACACACACAGAAACATTATAAGCTACGAGTTATTTAACTTAAAAACAAGCAAGAAGGTTAGGATTACTTGTAACTTGAATTGCTTAACTCAGCCAAGAGGACAAACCTGAGCGATGCTTAAACCTTCAGGAAATTTATTTTCAAAATAGAAAAAAGGCATATAGAAATAAATTCTTAATTTTAGACCTTCAGAAGCTGTCCAGTCACTTCAAGATTATGAAGTCAAGTCATGACAAACTACTAGCAAGTCTGGAAAGTAGGGTTTAAATTTGGGCAGTTTGGGTTAGAGTTGCTATTTTTAAACAATGACATTCCTTAATGTCAACTTTCTTATTAAAAATGAATTTTTTAAAAAAGAACAAAAACAAGAAAAACCAACAACGTCTGCTATAATATACTGACATTATGTATATTTCATGGCAAAGTAAAAGTGTAAATTTAAAAAACCATTATATAGCCCTGGCTGGTGTGGTTCAGTGGACTGAGCACCCGCCTGCAAACCGAAGGGTTGCTGGATCAATTGATCCAGTCAGGGTACATGCCTGGGTTTTGGGCCAGGTCCCAGTAGGGGGCACGCAAGAGGCAACCACATACTTATGTTTCAGTCCCTCCCTTCCCCTCTGTCTAAAAAAATAAATAAATAAAATCTTTACAAATAATAACAGTAAAAAATAAAAAAATCATTATACATACTTCAATTTAGAAATTGTAACTGATTCTTACTTGTTTTCCCTGGCATTGCAGATGTATTAGCTTTCGAAATAAAAGTCTTTGCTTCTGAAGAAGTAGATGGTTGCTCTGTGGTAACTGGATCTACAACCACCCGGTTGCTTCTCGTTCGAACTACAGAACTGGATTCTGTTTTACCATTTATCTGAGCAGCATTGTGCCTTGGTGGTATTAATCGCGTAGGTGTACAGAATGCAGAGGTAGAGATATCTGACTTAAGTTGGGGTTTCACAATCCTTTTCTTCCTTTCAGGGCTGTAAATAAAATAATATCATTGGTTATTCTTATAGCTCTATATGAAGATAAAAGTTTCATAAATATTATTGGATTCAATATTTGTACTATTATGAAATATGTTAAAATATGAGATTTGTAGTGGATTTCATATGGAATATTTAGTGAAGGATTGCTGTAAATGCTGTAGTTATATATGACAGAAAGCATGATGCCATCACTATCCTAAAAATGCTGTTTTACTGTATAGATTTAGCAGTTTGAATTTAAGCACTTACACTAGTATAGCTTTAGTTAAAAGATTAAAAATCCTCCACATCATAGGAACTTGCATGTCAAATATATCATTCTGCAATATAGGGAATAGTAAAGGAAGTATTAAAAAACATCGAGTTCTATTATTTAGATTACAAAGTTATAGATCAGCTGATGCTGTTTAAAAGAAATCAAATACCTTGATGCAACACTACTGGAAACAGAGCTGCTCCTGTTTCTTTTCTTCCTCCTTTTGCTTATTGTATTTCTTTTATGAAAACGAAGAGCAGATTTATAATCTGATAAAACTGAACTGATGTGTTCTTCAAAGAAAGCAGACAGGCGCAAACTCATGCTATAAATCTATGGTAAGAAAAAATAACTATTCAAACATTTCTCAAAAGACAATGTCTGTTCAGTAGATATTAACATATAATTTAAAAATTTATCCAGCCAAAAAAGTTTTAAAAATTTAAACTTTGCTTTTTCCTCAGTCTCTTTTGATGAAGAGTAAAAGGAGCATTTTTACAATTATTTTTGTATTTAGACCGGGAATCTTCCAACCTTTGAGATTCTTAAAGAAAAGCCCTACTATGAAGTGAGATGGCTGATACAAACAATATTTCTTTTTTTGGGGTAAGTTTTTTTTTCATAATTTTTTTTAAAGATTTTATTTATTTACTTTTAGAGAGGGAAGGGAAGGAGAAAGAGAGAGAAAGAGAAACATCAATGTGCAGTTGCTGGGGGCCGTGGCCTGCAACCCAGGTATGTGGCCTGACTAGGAATCGAACCTGCGGCACTTTGGTTCGCAGCCCGCACTCAATCCACTGAGCTACACCAGCCAGGAACAATATTTCTTTAAACTCTTGTCATAATGAAACTATCCCTGAGGATTTGAACCTGTTTTCCATTGCTTACATAGAACTAGCTATTTTTTCTCATTTCATTTACACATTATCACCCATTTGTGATGTCTTGTCCAGCCAAACAGGTAAATTAAAGTTTTACTCATTTTTATGAATCATTTGCAAAAATGCTCCTTTCTATTAATGCAGAATAGCTGCAAAAATTAAGTCTACACAGCCCTAATATATACCAGGACAATATGTACATAGTTATTTATTCAACCACACTACCTCAAGAAAAGTAACCATCCCTGAACATTAATGACATCAGTGTTAGTTTACAGAAGGAACAAAGTAGAAAGAAGTCATTCTTTTTTCCACTAGGATACCATTAAGAACATAGAAAGTTAATAAATGTTTGCTCTAAATTTTAAATTAAGGTGACAAACTATTTCTAATAACCTTGTTAATTTGAAAACAAAAGAAAACAATTTAATATATACCCTTGATCTTTTGCTCGGTGTATATGCTTTAGAATTACTAAAAATAAGTCTGACATCTTTACATAACTCCATTGGTGACTCATAATTCCCAGCCTCTAACGTTTCTCTAACGGTAGCAAAATCCATTGGAGTGTCAATGATGTCTCTGTAGTCCTGAGAGAGGAAAAATAGGTGGTATTATTATCATTACTACCACAAGGCATTACATCTCAGCACAGGGATTCACACACAATTTCTGTGATGAACAGAAGTCCTAGAACTACTACTAATAATCATTCCTTGTTTTCTCATCAAGGCTCCCTTTTTTCTAATGCGCCATCCCTTATATTGCAGTCAACAGAGGAATTTTCTCATTTAGAAGCTATTAAGTTCTGCTTTCCTCCCCTCATCCCCTGGGGAAAAGGTAAATGGTGGAGGTGTGTTGGAAAAAAGGGACTAAAAAGAGTACTGAAGTTTCAGTTCTATAACTAAATATAAGTTTGATATTAAAACCCCCAAAACTTTATGCTATCTATAAACTCAAAAGGCTGTTGACTTGAAAAAAGTTGTCACCAAGCCTATGCACTTCATTTCAGAGAAGTGGAATCACCCAAAGTCCCTACCTAGTCAACTGTGTATAAAAGAGCAATAAAAACAAATGAAAGCAGAAAAAAGCAATAGCAGAAAATTATTTGAATATAGTGATCTTTGTGTGAGAGGGAAACAGTGGTCTCTCACACATTCCCAACAGAGGACCTGGGCCCCAGCACAGGCCTTGTCCCTTGACTGGGAATCAAACCAGTAACCTTTTGGTTTTCAGGTTGACACTCAATCCACTGAGCCACACCAGCCAGGGCTTAATAGAGTTATCTCTTAATAGTGATGTACAGCCCTGGCTGGTACAGCTCAGTGGATTGAGTGCTAGCCTGTGAACCAAAGGGTCTCCTGTTTGATTCCCAGTTGGGGCACATGCCTGGGTTGCTGGCCAGGTCTTCAGTCAGGGGAGCTAGAGAGGCAACCACACATTGATGTTTCTCTCCCTCTCTTTCTCCCTCCTTTCCTCTTTCTCTAAAAATAATAAATAATTTTTAAAAAGAGGGATGTACAGTACTCTACCTTTTCCATAGCCTTGGAGTATGTAACTATATTTTTCAAAATATAATTTGACTTTGAACAACCAAGTTTAAATTATAATCAAATATGTTTTACCATAGGGGAACAGGATTTTGAAATTTACAAATGGGAACACTTATTTCTTCTTTAATAATCTCCATACTTTTTATTTCCTTTCTTGCCTTATTCCATTGGCTAGAATTTGCAGTACTATACTGAATAGCAGTGAAAATGGACATTCTTGTCTTATTCCCAATCTTAGGGGGAAAACATTCAAGTTTTCATTATTAAGCATGATGTTAACTATAGGTTATTTCATTACAGAACTGAGAAGACTCTGCCCTTTCCAGGGACAGTCAGTTCTTAGAGATGGCAAAGGACTGTACTGGGAACACATTTTTATATGTAAAACCACCCCTGCTTATCTCTCTGTGCCCCACTGAAATTATTCAAAGTAGCCAATCCTAAACTGTTTACCCTGCCCTGCCTGCCTCTCTCACAGACATCCCAAGAAAGATTCTGACCAAAGCTTGTCCCTTGCTCCTGTCGTCTGCCACCTGATGAAAATGTGGTGATTCCCTGTGGTGCAAAGTGGCCTCTTTCCTAGAACCTGCAAGTACAATAAACTTCTTCCTTTCAAGCTTCATTCTTGTTTCCTCCTGGCCTATACTGACTTCACCATACCATTATCATATCCAACATGTACATTCTTAGAACAAACAAAAGCCATTTCGTCAAATGCCTTCTCTGCATTAATATGATCATGTGACTTATCTCTTTCAATGTGATGAATTACACTGATTGATTTTTGAATACAGAACCAGTTTTATATCCCTGGGACCAACCCCACTTGGTCATAGTATTAAATCATTTTTATATATTGGTGAATTCTAATTTACTGACATTTTATTAAAAATTTAAGGTTTTTTTCTTTTGTATTATTTTTGTCTGGTTTTAATATCAGGATAATACTGCCTTTAGAGGTTAAGTGAAGTGTTTTCTTCTCCACTTGTGGAGAGATTGCATAGAATTTGTGTTAAATCTTTAAATGTTTGGTAGAATTCTCCAGAGATGATATCTGGCTTTAAGAGATTTCTTTTTTGAAAGTTTTTAATTGCAAATTAAATTTCCTTACTAGTTATAAGGCTATTCAAATGATCTAATCATATGGGGTGAATGATAGTTACTTGTACTTTTAAAATTGGTCTGTTCAACTAGTAGTATTCCTTTATTATGCTTTTGATTTCTGTAGGGTTTGTAGTGATATCCCCTATTGTATTCCTGATATTGGCAATTTGTATTTTTTTTTCTTTTTAGCTTTGTAAATCTTTTCTTAGTAGAGCTTTCTTAATTTTATTAATCTTTTCCAAGTATCAGCTTTTGGTTTTATGGATTTTTTCTATTGTTTTTCTGTTTCCATTTCATTGATTTCTGCTCTTAATATTTCTTCTGCTCACTTTTGGTTAATTTTATTTATTTTTTCCTACCTTAAGACTAACTCTTAGATTGAGTTGAGACTTTTCGTCTTCTGATGGACTACTTAGTGCTATAAATTTCCCTCACTGCTTTAGTTGGGTCGCATAAATTCTGACATTGCATTCATTTTCATTAAGTTCAATACATTTTTAAATTTCCCCTAAGTCTTCTTTGAATCATGGGTTATTTAGAACTATCTTGTTTAGTTATCATCTGTTTGAACATTTTCTTGTTACCTTTCTGTTACTGATTTCCAGTTTGATTACAATGTGGTCAGAAAACACTATATGATTTTAATTATATGTCTGTCATTTTATTGTTTTCTTCTGGTTTTTTTTTTTTATTATTTTTTTCAATCTTATGAATCCCTTGAACAGGTCTTAGAATTCCATTTGATTTCTTTATAATGTTCATCACTATAACTCTCTGTAAAGTTTCTTAAGTGATTGTTCAGATATTTTATAACATATATATAATTATCAAAACATAATGTCAACATTTTACTAGTTTAAGTGATGGGTAGAAACCTCCCCTACCCTTATTTCTTATCTTCACACTGATTCTTTCCTCTGTTCTCTTCATTGAGTTTTTATTTCAGTCATTATTTTTTAGTTCTATTTCCATTTCATTCTTAGTTCTTTTTTGAGACTTGGTATAACAAAGGATTTTTTATTGAAACCTGGACATTTAAACCTTGTGTTTCAGTGGACCTACTTGAACCCTACTCTTTTGGCTAAGAGGGAGTACTGCCTTGTTACTGCTAGGTGGGTGTGGAATTTCATGTTTTATTTGGCTTTCACTGACGCTCAACGATTGAGGAGTTGCTCCTTGAAACAGCTGAAAGGGACTGGAATGCACTAATGCCAGTTAGGGTGGGAGTGCCTTTGTTTCCTACATGACCTTTACTGACACTATGGGGATGACTCTGTTATCATGGACTGATGGTCAAAGTCCCAGCTCTCCACTAGGCATCCATTGACAACACCCAGTGAGGTAGGGTAGAAGTACTTCATTACTGCCAGGTGGGGGTTGAAGTCTAGGCATGGTATTTGGGAACCATGGGGATGGCTCTCCACTAACCTTTGCAGGTGGTAAGGGGTAAAGGCCACAATTTTTTCTATGGTATTTGGTTGGAGTACAGCAGCTATCATCTACAAGTTTTTTGTGCTACTGAGTTGCCCCTTTCTTCCTGCACTGGCTGGAGAGAGCATGCTTTTCTGGTCAGTACAAGTTGGCATTTCTAGGTTGTCAGTTTCTCCAGTATCCAGAGTTGAAATATAAGGCAAAACACATACCTAGGAAATTCACTACTGTGTTATTATTCATCAGGTCCTGAGGTCCCTAGCTGGTCCTCCTTCTTCTCTCCACCTTTCAGAATCTTCTTTCATTTCTTTTATACATACCATCCACAATTTTTTAGTTCTACTTAGAAGGGAGAATAGGGAAAAGTATGTCTACTTCTTTTTCTTAGAAGTCCAATTACACAGTGTTTGACCAAAATATTTTGAAATGTGTGACCTATAAGCGACTTTAGAACCACTTTATAAAGTCACAAAAAATTAGTATATTTCACTAATATTTTGATTTTAGCGAAAACAATGTACCAGTCTATCTTATGTACCAAATCTAATAAAAAATAACCTGGCCATTTACAGAAATTAAATACATTATTAGTGGAAGACCGTCATTTTAAAAAAAGTATTTCAAAGACTGAACCCATGACTATTAAGACAGCTGAAGGTTGGGCAATAGGTACAAAATTGCTTTATGCAAGGGTAACAACATCTGAACAGTGTCCAACCTCTCTATCCTCTTAAAAGTATCAAACTAATTTGACAAAGATCTATAATTACTTGGATATTTAATATTATAACATTGGATTTACAAACTGGAAAATGTTGGGAAAATAATATAAAAATGTTTAAATGTTTTGCAAAATTTTTGGTTAAGTATCAGATTTATGTAGAGCATTTTGTTTTTCTTGGTTCATATCTTTGGTTTCTTCATTCAGTACAGTATACAGTAACTGCTCAATACAATTCTGGTGAATGAATAAACAAGTGGAATACTGAACATGCTAATTTCCACCAAAAAAGTTTAATTTTTAAAATCTTGATAGTTGATTAAACTCAAAATGTAAAGCAATTCTTTTCATACAAAGGCTGAAATATGATGAGCATAATCTGCCTTAAATATTCTGCTGGTGAGGCTGATAGTTAATTATAGTTAATTCTGAAGTATAAAAAGTAGATTATCCAGTTTCCTCTTTTACTCTTGGACAGCAATAAGAAACAGTTAATAGCCATGTTTCACACCTCCATCAAGGAGTACCAAAAGAGACAAGAGATTAAATTAAAATTTTTTCTTCCTTCTGGTACTTTGTCTGCTAATACCTGTAGCTGGTGGAAAGAGAGGTTCTAAATATAAGTATCATTCTTGTTATTTTAAGTACCTAAGGGAGACTGAACTCATTTATTACCTATTTTCTAAGAACAATACATATGCTGTAGTGCACTTTACATATGAGCAAAGGCTTCTTGTTTTCACCCTATCAATAAATAACTACATATTTTGGAAAGCTGCTTAACCTGATCCTCAGTTCACCATCAGCTGCACCACAGTTTTATTGGGTCTCTTCTGTTTCTATATGATTGCTTTAACATTTTTCTTTTCTCTTTCGTCTTTATTTCCTTATGCTTCTTGTCCCTCCATTTATCTCCTAAACCAAAATGACATATCAAAGTTTAAATGAAAGTGTTTTTTTCTTTCTCTTGGTGGTATATAAGATAACGGTCATCTTACAATGTACAGGGTTTTAGATTTGATGAACTTTAATAGCATTTAGGAATAATCTATTACACCTCACGTTTCAGGGAAAAGGGTGATCATATTTCCATTTGTTGTTTCTGTTGATATCATACCCTTACAGAGTTTGCAATTTCTTTTTAACATTAGTTCAACTTTAGTAGGGGTTGTTTCCCACCCCCCGATGAGTTTCTACACTACAGGGAAGTGTACATTTAGACTCTGTATCCATGTATCCTGCAAGCTTAGGGAGATTACTCTGACATCAGAGAGAGACATTCTTCTTTGTAGAAGAAATTATTCTATTCTTTTCATTGAGGGTGAAGTCTTTCAACAACAGTCCCAGGGGGGTTTCAGTTCCCATTTCCTTCCTCACAATGGCCGACATATCTTCTTCACCTGTCTCCCTGTAATATTAATACATGTGCTTCTAGAATGCGAACATTAACACTTATTTCTATCTCCTCTTTTCTGGGAGAAAGTCCAGAATACAAACACCTGCAAGCAGTGAGTAAATTATAACTTATTTTCTAAGATACGAAGTTGAGCTTGCAAGAAACAAACGGAAATCCACAGGTTCCAAAAACAAAAAGAACTGAAAAAGAGAGCACTAAACCATTAATTAGCTCAGTTCCTCTAAAGAGTTTTGGATGGTAGGGTTTAAACTAGCCCAGTTTATCACACTGCTGGAATAAAAGATTTATCTTTTTTTTTAATAATTTTTTTAAATTTTACATTTTTTAAAAGAATTTATTTATTTTTTTTAGAGAGGGAAAGGGAGGGAGAAATACAGAGAGAAACATCAATGTGTGGCTGCCTCTCGCATGGCCCCCACTTGGGGACCTGGCCCACAACCCAGGCATGTGCTCTGACTGGGAATTGAGCCTGTGACCCTTTGGTTCACAGCCGGTGCTCAATCCACTGAGCTATGCCAGCCAGGACAAAGATTTATCTTCTATACTTAAGATTCCATGCTTCTTAATTTTAAATGCTGAGAAAAGGCATTTTTAATATTTATGATGAAATTTCTTTATTTCCATCACTGCAAGTTAAAACATATATATAAACAGGTAAGTCATATCCAGCTCACGATATTTTATAAAATATTTCATTTTCATTTGAAACCACTTATGTTACCTGAACTGTACAAACTTTAATAAATTGAATAAAGAAATTAAAACTCACTTTAAGCTAATTTAGATTTCTAAGATTACATGTAAAAATAAACACTGGACCATGTTTACTCAAGCTTTTTACCATGAACCCCATAAAGATCATAATTGATATAACCTAAATATATTTAATAATGCCACCTTACATTTGTATATAGTGCTTCAGTTTCTATTATTTTATTGTACTTCCGGCTCTATAACTCCATAAGGAAGGTTAGGTATGTATGTATTATTCTTGTTTCCTAAATAACTGCCATAATAAATTTATAAAGTTAGTGTGGGGAAGAAAACAGTAAACAAAACAAAACAAAACAAAAACCATCAGATGAGAAAATTGCACAACTGGTAAGAGAAAGGGCTGAAACTCAATTCTTCAGAGTCTTCGTTCAGGGCTCTTTCTATTTTACTATACCATTCAACTTTGACGCTCTATATAACCAAATGGATAATGAGTACATGTACAAAATAATTTAGAAATAAACTATAACCATAGAAACAATTTAAATAGCAAACTGTTGTGAATAAGATACATACTAAAACCAACAGGTAAAGAAAGTATTTTCAAAAATACTTACTGGATATTCAAGGAGATCTACTGGCTGGCGGAAAGGCTCAGAGTCTTCACACTGAAATATGAGATTTAACAATTCTTGACATTGTTTTTTCCATGCTTGAATATCATAAGACTGCGCTCTATTACGTAATCTTCTTCTAGGCTGATGGTCCTAAAATAAAAATGATGAAAAATATTAATAAAATACACAAATAAACTTTATATTTTTAATGCAGTCTTACATAATTAGGTAATATATAGTAACTCAAATGATAGAAAATACCATTTACCTAGTTCTGAAAATCATCATGCATTTTGTGATTGAAACTTAACTGACAGTAATATTTATAACCAGTCTTTAAAAAAAAAAAGTAAAAAAAAAAAAGCTCTGAAAACATTTATTTTAATCTATGTAATGTATTTCTGCTAGATCAAAAACTATGTTACCTTCCTTTTTCGAGTGGAAGTTCCTGGCACATCAGCATCTTTCTCTTCTTCCTTTGAAGCAAGAATTTATCAAATTTATTAAAAATTCTAGATTTCATGATTATAGTGAACCCTTGAAGAACATGGGTTTAAACTGTACAGGTCCACTTATACAGATTTTTTCCAATAAATACATATAGTACTATGTTATTTTCTCAACATATTCTTTTCTCTGATTTAATTATAAATATATGGCATGTAATACATATAATACACAAAATGTGTGTTAATAAACTTTATATTATCAGTAAGACTTCTGGTCAACAGAAGGCTATTAGTAGTTAAATTTTGGGGAAGTTAAAAGTTATACACAGATTTTCAACTGCTCGCGGAGTAAGTGCCCTTAACTCCCATGTTGTTCAAGTGTCAACTGTACTCTACAGTTGTTTATATACCAGTTATCTCCTTCACATTTTAATAAATCTATAATGTATATGTTGGAGCTCTTTAGCACTCATTAAAAATTCTCACCCCTACCTTTTAAACAATTTTTTGTCATAAAAACAAAAAAATTCTGAACCATGTTTAAGTTAATTATACCATTAGACAAAAATAATCTTCGTAACAGCATTTAACTGAAAACTATTGTTTCTTTTTTTATGCAGAATAAGACTAATGTCATAATTATAATAAAATATTAAATACCTCAGAGTCAGACAAAACTTTCTTCTTCATTGAATTGTAGAGTGGAATTACGTTATAGCAAGTCTGATCCCTAAATAACAAGGAAATGTTAGTATACAAGATTAGAGTCATGAGATTTTTTTTCCCCTTTAAATCTCTTACTAAAACCAGATTTAAAAGTAAAATTTAAAAGCCTGAAGGCTTCTTTCATAGGTTGATGACAAAACACACATGACCCCACTCCTCCACTCTACATGGAGCCTCCACTCTAGCCTATTGCATTACACCAAACCCAGTTCAATTCTTACCTCCAAGTTTTGCTCAGCTCATTGCTGTGCCTGGGATGCCTTCTTTACTCAGTCTACAAGGGAAGTACCCCCTGTCTTCTAATTCCTTCTTTCTTTCATTCTTAAATGAAGTCATTCCCTAAAATTTTGTCCTTAGTCATTTTCTCTTGACACTGTAACCTCTATAAATGAATCCCAAATTCCTATAATTTGGTCTGACTCTTCTCAGGTTCTTATCATCTAAAATTCCACATGGCTGAACCTAATTGTCACTCCATAGTCTTCCTCCTTTTTCTACTTTTTTAGAAACAGAATTCCCATTTTCATAGTGCACAGATTTTCACTATTCCATCCTGTGCCTCCTTATAAACCCAACTACTGGCCAAATTCTGTAAGTATACCTTCAAAATCTCTTGGCATCTGCCTCTTTCTCACTTTCATAAATTAATCCCTTATCACTTGTTACTTGGTCAGTGTAGCAGCCAATCTAATATTTATGGTTTATGTGTCTTCCCTATCAATTAATACCAGACACTGCAGTAAATATTTTAAGGCATACTATGCATCATATAATATTCATGTTAAAATATGTTCATTAACCCTTGCTTCTGGTGCCCATATTTTAAGTTTAGTTTCTTAGATCAGCATTCAAGGCCCTCCATGATCTGAACAAAACATGAGTTTATAACACTGTACCCCTTACTTCAACTCATGTATTCTGTTTCACCCAATTTAAATTACTAAACTTATTTAAAATCTTTTTAATTTCCTAGCTCATTCCATCCTTATCTCTAGAATGGATTTCCTTTCATCTAACTTCTCCTGAATTTATCCATATCTACCTTGTCCATTACATCTTAACATACTCTCCCTCCCCCTGAACCTGAAACCCCACTTTAATAGCTAGAAGTGAACCTATCCCTCATCTAAATTTCATAGAAACTCTTTTGTTACCTTTCCCTTATCTTGTAGTTACTTACGAATTTACCTATCTACAAAATTGTATTAAGAAGTTATATTTCTATTTCCAAATATCTATTATATCACTTTGTATATATCTACTGCTTGGAATTTGGCCAAACAACTCAATTAAAAAGTATAATAATCAAAATTTTGAAATATTTTGAAAACCACTGTCAGCCAAAAATGGTTTTAACAAATTGTATACATCTAAAAAATGCCAGGGATTTATTTTTAGATATATATGATATGAAGGCTTTAAATGTATTAATCTGTCCTTCTAAGTCATTTCCCAATAACTATTTGAAAGAGATACAATTTCACATACTATTTCAAATATAAAAATAACTTTTATCTAAATTATTTCACTAAAATATAAATTTCCTATATCCCTTGATTCTGATTCATCTCTTAGAAATATAGATGTACATAAATATCCACATAACACTTAGAAAATTAGACTAAAAACTTTATAGTTAAAATATTACAAGCTATTATAACCAAGTCATAGAAACAGTCCTCTGAGGAAAACTAATTCTTGATTATCAGTTTTACTGAAAAGAAGTAAAAGTACTGCAAAAATAGTCCCTAAAGCACTTGCAAAGAAAGAGTTCTCTAGAGAACAGGGTAGAGGAAGGGCATGAAGTTTATCTTTCTAAGTTCCTCTGGTGTTTTCTTATATTAAAATCACCTACATTCCTTAGGAAAAAAAGTAAGCAATTAATACCAGGACAAGGAACCCTCTGAATAAAGCTAAAGATGTTTTTTAAAAAGCTTCAATAATTCCTTCATGTAAAAATAAAAGCTGATAGCAGCTGAATATTTAAATTATAAAATAGTCTTCTCTTAACAAGAAATAATTATCCAATATAAATAACCTTAATACAAACTCAGAGCAGTATCTTATACAAAACATATGATTCATTTCTCTGACTTCAACTAGAAGGTTCAATTCATTCTATGGTTACATAAAATCCGTTAAGACAAAAATAATAAAAGTGCTGCTGCCTTACAAAGTTATCATTACCACTCTTTGTATGGGATCAATGAATAAGTAAATAAACTTGACTTTAAATAAGAATCATCTTGGAAGTTAAATTTAGTCTGATGCTGGGCTCCTTAAATACTTGTTCATAAACTTGACAGGGGTACTATAATATCAAGATAAAAGGTTCTCAAATCAGAATGGCAGACACTCATTTACCATAAAAATTAAACAAGTTAACCTCTAAAAGATGCAGTTTCCTTAATTACAAATTCCAGATAATTTCTATCCCACATATAAGATTATTTGGGTTAAAAGAACTATTTTAGGTAAAACAGTACATATTCAATAAACACTTATCTTTTAAACAGTTGGGCTTAGAAAAGGATACATATTTGTTTATATTAACTACAGAACACAAGTTTTATGATTTTGTAGTATTAGCCAATGAACTAAATGGTACTTTAGACATAGGCATTATGTGCTTCCTATTTTGAGTAGAGCCATGTGTACAGCACATCATGTGATATTATGTATATAAAAATTGTATTTTATAATGGACATTTTACAATATTGTCATTATTACACATTAATTATAATTAAGTATGGAAAAATAACTCACTTTATAAAATGTAGAAGAAGATCAGTCACAAACTTAGCAGATTTTACAATTGGGCTTCCAGGCTCATTAAATGTTCGTGTATTATGCTCTATATATCGAACTTCCCACATTAGGGAAGAAACCCGCCTTTAAAGAAACAAAATACAGAAGTGTTAACCTCATTATATTTAGAAGTATAAGCACAAAATTTAAAACCAAGACATTGTGATTTTTCAAACGCAGTCTTAAATCAAGTACAAAACTCACACCTCAAAAAGTTATTTTCGAAAAAGTATAACCTCTTTGTGCAAGAAAAAAAAAGTGTAGCAACATTATGGATTTGCATAGAGTATGTCTAGATTAGATACACTGAAACAACAGTTACTTCTTTTAGGAAGAGAGACTTGCCTATAGGGAGAGTAACAGAAAGAACTGCAGTTTTTATTTTTAGCTTTACCTATTCCTGTCAGATATGATGTCATTTTTTGATAATAAACATACCTGAGATTTATGTAAAAAGGAAGCAATTCTCATCTAATTGTATCACTGGTAATTAAATTACATATAAAAATGCAAAGGTGATAACATGCTTATGAGATACAAAAATATAAAAATATATGGCAACCATGTTAGTTTACTAAGAACTGTCAGTAAATAAAAATTATTTTTTAACACTGAATTGAAAATACTAAAATAAATTTTGGTATTTTATTATTTCTGAAAGGAAAGAAAAATCCAAAGATGACTTCTAGAATATTACCCAATATGTGGTCCTATTTAAAATAAAGAAAACACTCATAAAATCTTGCTGATGTGTGAACAAAAATACAATGACATGAAATTTAAAAAATGTATAGTTGTGGGGCCCTGGCTGGCGTAGCTCAGTGGATTGAGCATGGGCTGCAAACTAAAGTGTTGCAGGTTCGATTCCCAGTCAGGGCACATGCCTAGGTTGCAGGCCACGGCCCCCAGCAACCGCACGTTGATGTTTCTCTCTTTCTCCCTCCCTTTCCTCTCTAAAAATACATAAATAAAATCTTTAAAAAATGTATAGTTGTGAATATAGAAATACTTCTGTGCATTTAAAATGGCATTCACGAAGTTCATTATAATAATAAAATTAAAGTTATCTTCAGCATAACTTACAGAAAATTGTGTGTAAATTAAGGAATTAGAAGAATATCAGCAAGGCAAAGTGAGTAGTTTAACAAAAGACTAAGGGAATTACTGAAGAGGAAAACCATAAACTTTAAGGAGTCGGAAGCCAATAAATAAAGGAAAAGCAAAAAAGCTTGAAACAGTGAAATATCACTTAAAAATATAACTTGGGTCTATAACCATATTATAAGAAAAATAGGCAGTTTCTAATTTAGGTAAGGATTATATCCACAAAGGTTTTTTCTTAAATTAGTTACTATGGCTAATTCCAAAAATCCTATTTAAGGTGTAATGTACTTGAAATGCACACCTTAGCATTCTTTCCTTGTTACCTTCCATGTCTTGTTCCATCTCTGAAACACTAGGTGTAACTCCTAAGATTTAACAATTAGAGGTCTAGGAGAAAGAAGGATGTAGTTAAGAATTTCTCCTCCATTTATTCTCTTAAACTTCCAACATCTGGAGTTGAAAAAGATTTAAAGAAGTGTGTTTCATGGGTGAAGATAAATGGGAGGCACATTGTCATAGCTGATGTCCTCCTCTATGTTTCTGACAAATAGCAATGAAGCAACAGTGGAAACACTTAGCAAGATCAGAAATATCTTCAGAACATTAAATTTAATATCTTAATTTCCTTTATTCCAGTGGTTACTAATGAGGGGTGATTCTGAGTGCCCTGGGACCATTTGGCAATGTATAGAGAAATTTTCCATTTTACAACCAGGGACTGTTATTGACACCTAAAAGACCAAGGACAACCCCAAATGTCAGTAATGTTCCTATTGAGAAACCCTGTTTTCATCAGTAAGGAATAACAAATGGAATTTTCAGTAGCAGGTAAAGGAAGTACCAAATTAGATTTATACTTTAAGTGATAAAAAGAATGGAAAGCACTGATTTTTGTAGGAAAATACCAATAAAAATATGAATAAAAACCATCCTAAGTTAAATAAAAACATAAAGAACTGCAATAATATAAAACTGCTCACAAAAAAGTTTTAATGTAGTATTATTTGAATTAAAATGTTTTATGACTGTTTAGCAAAAGTCTTAAGAAAAATGAAAACTAAGAGTATAATTTCATTATGTGAAAACTAAAAACTTAAACTCACTTTTTAATATGACAATTTAGGCAATAAACCTCAAAAGCCTGTCTGAGATTGGAACTCAGTATTTATTGAAATTGTTACCTAGAAGATGATGATGCAAATTAACTGAAATCGTCTTTAAAGGAAAAAACTCTGCATTTCAAGCTAACTTGTAACGATGAAAAATATCCTGAATTTCCTAATTTCATTGTTCGTAAGTACTCATAAGCTGAATAGAAGCAAAATAAGACAAATTTTATATTGTTCATGAAAAAATCAAGTAACAAATATTTCAATGTGATATCTTGGAGAAAATGACACAGTTTTGTAAAATATGCTAAGTTTTATAAAATATGCTATGAAGACAGCAAGCAGCAGCTCATATTAGCAGGTAGACAAAACTATCTAGGTAACATATTCTAAGTGTAGTTACAAGACCAGCAGCATCAGCATCGCTGGGAATTTTTTAAAAATGTAGAATCTCAGGTTATACTCTAAACCTATGGAACCAAATTCTGCATTTTAACAAAATCCCCAGGTGATTTTTTTATGTACATTAAAGTTTGAGAAGCACTGCTATAGAAGATCAGTAAATGGGTGAAAGGATCATTTAGCTTTATTTAGGTAGTAGCTACAGTAAACAGTTCTAACCTGTAAAACCTGTTTTCCAGTCTTTGTTTAATTGTACTTAAATCTGTTGGATATGCCACTACAGTGCAATACATGGGATAGGCTTGCAGATCCACAGGGGCCACAAATGCTGAAGCAATATCTAAAATAAATAAGACAAATAAGTTTATAAATGTATTTTGTATTGCTTAAATACTTAATGGAAAATCTTGAATTAAAACAAGTTTTGAGCTGTGTTAACTATTAATCTGTCACTCTTCATAGAAAAAGCAAAGTTTAGCTAATCTAGTAAGAGTCTCATTTTTATTATGTATACATTTACACTGCAAAATTTTACATATATTTGTTATTCATAGAGTTCTTAAAAGAAAAATGACAAATAATATACATATGACCTATTAAAGATACAAACATTTCTCTAATTAAAACCTGGCCATTCCTGAATTTATGTTTTTAACATTCATTCTATCAGTAACACTATAATAATTACATTGCATTCAAACATTTTAACGTCTGACTTTCTCAAAACTTAGAATTTTTTCTCATCTTCATGACATAATTCTGTGAAATATTAGTGAAAAAGAAAAGAGGAAACAGATTCAAAGTAACTGACTCTATGGCACACATTAAACTGGTAAAAATCTACAAACTATGGTCTCTCCAGTTTTGCTCATTCACACATAGTTTGACAACTTCATACCCCAAAATATTACTAAAATTATCTAAGACAGTATTTGAGACAATTTTTTATAAAGTGTTGCCATTCTATAAAATACTTCAGGTAAAAATACTATCCAGTATGTGTCTCTAGTGTTTTTAGCTGTTATTCATGTTAATTTCTCCCTGTATTCTTTGAATCTGATTCCTTACTCAAGAATAGGAGGTTGTTACAAAGCACCATACTAGTTTAGAGTTACTCTGGATAATTTGTGGTCATTGTTTTTCTTTTAATGAAGCAAAGCAATTCACATATCCTTTTCCCCTGCCCTTACAAATATTCTCTTATGTATATGTATGTAAAGTTAAGGGGGAAACTAGTATAGCAGTTTAATAATTATAATCCACCTTTCAGTCATTGTCTTTCAGTTTATATCATGTCAGCTTGAATATGTCGAGAGTTTTCAAACTGGATTCTGGAGGAATCAGATTGTTCAGAAGTTTCCCTGGCATTTTGTGGGAGACCCTCATTCTAAATTCAGATAGAACAATCCCATTTATAACTTATTTGAATATCTGAGTCCTGTGTAAGATCTCATTTTGAAAAATTCCACTTAGAAATGTTTGAAAATCACTGACTTAATGATGTTATGAAAGAATAATTTGTTTGAATTATAGTATTTTTCCTTTCCTTTGCTTTTTGCCAGCTTTTTCCATACTGATGTGCTACTATTATCATTTACCTAGTGTCATCAACTGGTTTATTCCTGCAACAATTCTTTCACATTCTTCATCCCTTGGATTGGAACCCCATTCTCCATCAAGAGGTTTATAGATCAATGATCTGCATTCAACATCAGTTAAAGGAACACTGGTACCTAGTTCTTCAGGAAATACAGCTGAAATACCCAGAAAGAAATGCAGATTTAGTGAAAATATGTGGAAGTTTACTAATATTTAGGTTATCTTTACAAAGTAGAGTTGATATTGTCATAAGACTAAAGGATAATTTTATAAAGATTTGGCAAGTATATTCTTTATTTTTCATGAAAGAAAAACATATTTCAATGATCAAGAAAACTTAAATTATTTTTTAAAACATTATAATAATTACTTCTCCAAATTTTTTACCCCACAACTTCATCACCATTTACCAGGTGAAGTAGAAAGCATTTTATAATATGATACAAATTTAAAAGGTTTTGAATCAATTCATAATATAGTCTCCATTTTTACTTTGATAAAACATACACAATGTAAAGCTGAACTAAAGTAGTATTTTCCAGAATACTTCAAACAAAGTATAATTTTTAAAAAATGTATAAACAGAGAAAATTCTGATTACTGACAGGTAATTCTCATGCTTATTGCTCTTAAATGATAACGGTTATGCTTTCTGCATGCCTGAATATGTAACAGAATCTCTTACTGAATCTTTAAGAGAATTGTTAGGGGTGGGTGATAACATAAATCTACAAATCTACCAAATACATTTTTCTTTGAACTAGACCCAGATAAGAGAAACATATTAACTATTTGTGTACAAAACTTTTCCTCCTCACAAAATGAAATTAAGCTCTATGGCTGCATATGTGTATGTATCCAAATAGATAAAAAACAAAAAGCACTTGCTCCACATACAGATATATTTAGGTAGGATGTATCTTAACGGCACCGATTCATTTCAAGAAATACCTCAGGCATTACAATTCCAATTAGTTTCATTTCTCTCACATTAATAATAGTGCAATGCATCAAACTCAAACTTCCATAAAGGAAAAAAACAAAACCAGAATATAAGCCATGTAAAATGATCATTATCTGACTAAGACATTTAAAAATTTTAAAGACTATTTTCTCATTTTTAAGGTTTATCCGAGTTTACTTTTTCCAAGATATCGTTTTTCTCTGACTTCTTAGAAATACAATAAATAACAAACATTTATAAATGATTATTTCTATGTCAAAAGTCAAAATTTTGTTTTTAAATCTTTGCTATTATCTAAAAGTAATATTATTTTTAAAGAAATCAAACAACATAGAATAATGTAAAGGATAATTTATAAAAGTCTTTATATTTTTATTTTTTATAAGTAATCTTTATTAAGAATCTAGAATACATATCCTTTTGAACATTTTTACGCATATATAGTAATATGATCTTTTTAAAAAAAATTGAAACAAAGATAGGTAATGAGGTAGAAAAAAAAATAATCTCCAGGATTTAGCTACACTGGCCTTTTCTCAGTCCCAAGAAGATATCATACTCACTGCCTAAGGCTAACTCCCAAATTCCAAGGCAATGTGTAAGGCCATATGCAAGGTAACAGCTATTACATTATTATTAATTATAATTACTGACTCGTTGAGCCCTTACACGTGGCAGGCTCTATAATAAGCACTTTACACATATGATGTCATTTAATCCTCACAGAAGCCCTGTAAGGAACATATTAGTTTACATAACTTCAAAGGCTAAATTCTAAGACCTGGTTTGGAGAATTGAAGGAACTTCCCCAAGTGGCATAGACAGAAGACGGCAGGGCTAGGATATGAATCTATGCTATGTCTCATGCAAAAGCCTGAACTGTGGAGTTACAAAAATATCTTTGCTCCCAAGTGCTCAGCTTCTAGGAATAACAAGTCATGAGCAAAACAATTTCATGTTTTTCTGTAATCAATTAACTTCCATCTTTCCTGTCACGACTATAAATTTCAGGGGGCAAATGTTAAGTCTATCTTGTTTTCTACTATGTCTCGAAAGTCCAGGTCAATAGTAAAGGCGCTATATTTGATGAATGAATATTTTCTATTTGATCTTCCTAACAACCCTATGCAATAGTAAGTTAGCAAATCATACTTCTTATTTAAAAAATTAATTCCATAATAAATATACAAAAGCCTAACATATACTCACCATTATTAGGTATAAGCTCCATATCCCAAGGACTCATCTTTTCTGTATCACCATTATCCCAGCTTAAAGGAAGAAAAATCCTGTTATTAAAAAATCTAAATACTAAAACACAATTTTTAAAATAAAATCATATCATAAAATAATTGCTTTGGTATTTTAAAAAAGTATTGCTATCATTTTATTAATAGGGAAAATATTCAAAGAAAATCAGGCTGAACTAAAATACAGCAAATGCTTTCTTACCAAACATTATAACACTGAAACAAACTATCAGGGTACTCAGGTTGAAGAGGTTCCTGGCTTTCAATTGTTCCAAACCACCAGGCATCATCTATGACTGATCTGAAACGGTCACCTGGACAAGAATAAGAGCCATCTCATTACTCTGAATTGTAATGTTGCTGTTGTTGCTCCTTTTTCCCAAAGTATACTCCTTTAAGATACTTAAACTGCCTGTATGATTTCAGAAGATATAGAAAAAGTGACCTACAAATTTCAAAATAAGTAAATAAGTCAGCAATATTGAGGAAAAATGTTATTTAATAAGTACACCAGAACTGTGACTTACCAGTTTCTATTGTACCATTTCTTACATTTTATTAGGGTAAGGAGAAATTCACTTTTACCTTAAGCATTTTTTTTTTTTTACTGGTAACCTTAAGCATTTTTAACAATCTAGCATTTTTAATTAATCAGTAGGACTATACCCAAACTTTTCATTCAAATAAATATACAGTTTAATAATTTCGGCTAAACAAGTATTTACAGTCTATAATTTCTTACTTTCTGTAGCCAAGTTCCTCTAACCAACAATCAACACTCCACTCTAAAAACAACTAAACCAAACAAATATCCAAACTGACTTCTTCACCTCAATTACCCTTAAGCTATAACACTCCTGCATATACTCATTTTCCATTTCCTATTAAAAACAAAGAAATAAAAACAACTATTCTTTGTAAAACAGCACTCCTTGAGTCCCTTTCTTTACTTACAATCAGCTATTGTCATATTAGGAAAACTGCTTTCCCGGAAGACCCTAATGAGTTATCCTCTCAGGTTCCCACTGTGCCATACAAAAACTGTAAATCAGTCTCTTCTTTTTTGCTACGTTTCCCCCTTCCCTGACTTTCAAACAAAAAATCAAATGTAAAAAATTGTAACCAGAACCAAGAAAAACTTTTAACTATTTCTTCTTGAAATTTACTTACGAATTTCTAAATAATGAATATACAGCTATTTCTTCACTCATCTATTTCAGACATTAAGTACTGACCTCTATCCATACAACTGTATATAAAAGATATATGTATTTTATTTAGTCTATATTCAATTTTTCTTTATCATGACTATGTAAATATTGTTTGCTACTATGCCAACTTCTACACACTTTCTTGTATTTTTTAATAATTGTTTAATTTTTTAATGCCTTAGTTTTCCCTGAATTTATGATTATTTTCCCCCATTCTCTAACAACTCAAACTATAAACTACTTTTCAATATAATTTTCCACAAGTCAAGCATGTTAGATCATTGGAGATCAGTTCCATTTTTTTCCCCTTGAAGACTTCACTCTTGAGAGACAATATCTTCTGGTCTGGTTGTTTTATAGGCTTGGTAACAGATGCTATTCTTGGGACTTCTGTTGACTGTTACCTGGGAACTCCTTTCTGCTCTTTCCTGTCTTGAAAACATTTCCTGTCTCCTAGAGGGATTCCATGTCTTTCTCTATCTTGATTACTCCCTTACTTTATGGAAAATATCTTTCAAAACTTCTACAGAAATGATACATGATACATTAACTTTTTTCATAACTCCTAGGACCTTGCATTCTCCTAATTTTTTTTTTAAAAAACAGTTAAATTTCTAAGTTTATGAAGTCCAATTAACAATAGACAAATAATCATGCCAATGCATTCTAATGGCACTGGAGAAGAGATGGACTGAAGTATCAATTATTGTGATTTTTCAAAGCCATATTATGCCATATATGCACCACATCTCACTCCGAGAAGACAAAGAATGCCACTATTTGAAGTTTAGAAATGAAATACTCTGATGAACAGCATACCCTCTGGACATAAATTAATCCATCTTAAATGCCTAGAAATTTTAAAGGATTTTAAAACTTTTTTGAGTCTTGATTTCAATATTAATTTTTAAAGATTATAATAAAGTTAAAGAAAAAAATGTAGGTTTAACTTTTGTCCCATCTAAATTAAATTATTAAACATATTGACCTGCTTCAATTTTGAATTATTATTAATATTTTTGGATAAAAATTTAAGTCAACACATAAAACAACTAAAGGAATAGGTATAAACAATCTTATAATAGTTAACAAATGTAAGAGAAAAAAATGCTTAGAATTTCAGCATCAACTAGATTAAAAGTATTTTCATTCTTAAAAAGACTCAAAAAACACTTGACACAATATTGTACTTGGCTACTAATATTCCCAGAAATGGCAGGCAACTCATTTCTTTTCCTAAACCATGAAAAATATTAAATCACTTATTAGATTAAAAACACACACTTATGGCTTCTAAAATTACCTACCTATATTCCACCGCCTGTATCTTGCATCGTCAAACTGTTGTCTCAAGACTAGGAAATCTATAACATCAGGCATATCATGGTATCTAATTACAAACAGAAATAAATTAGGTCACATACCTAAAAATATCTATGACATGTTTGAATTTATCTTGAAAACAATCTACAATACTAAGAAACCATTGCCTTTTTCAACAGTCCTTACTTCATGGTAAATGATCCGCCAGTCAGTTTACCAGTATCAGGATCAAGAAAAGCAAGTTTAAGGCAGCAAAGGGTAGGCAATCCCACTTCATACTTTATGCCAACTATTTTCATCAGTTCTTGTTCCTGAGAAGAGAGAAAAAATGAGAAACCATTTTCTCAAAATAAACTGCTAAACATAATCAAGAAAGCACTTTTTCACGTCAAACTTGATCTAGGTAATTACTCTGTCTATATGTAAAAATTCAGATCTGCGTACTATAGAGTATGCAAATTATGTTTCAGTTTTAAATAGTAAAGAAAAGCATAAAAAAAACTTTACTGAAATAAGAGTTTTCCAACACTTAGAGGTCTAAGCCTCTAAGTAATTGTGAACTATTGCTGATAAATCTAGACATACTTATCAAATTACATATATATTTGCCTTAGATATTAGTGTTGCTAATTCTCACTAATTATATTTTGTACCCACAATTTATAAACTGTCACAGCATACAAATTCAGTCAATCTTATGTTTCTTAGAATGTTAAATACAATACACTCTACTCGCCAGATTGCTTCAGTTAAGAAAGATATCTTCATGATATTGTTTCTTATACTAAAACTATTAATAATACAATTTTTCCACATTCCATAACTACATATTTTTGAGCTATTAAATAATAAACATCATACCCGTAGTTCCATTTTATGCCATGGCTGTTTTTTAGGATTGATACTATAAATTTTATTTTTCCGGGCCATTTCAACATACGCTTCATGTCCTTGTCGGAAATAATAAACCTAAAAATAATATAACATCACAATTTAAAAACTTGAATGTGTTTCCGTAAACTCAATATGCAATAATTTAATGTTCTTTGAACTAAAAGATTTTCTAATACTATGATGTTTTTTCCTTCTTTTCCTTCTTTTCCTGAAGTTTTTCTGATGTCACATAATCATAACCAAAGTGTTCAAAATAACATTACTTTGATTACATACTAACAGGTTAAGAAAAGCAGTAACTTTTGGGTTTTTTTGGTTTGTTTTACCACTTTACTTTTATTGTTTGAAGATTTTATTTATTTCTAGAGAGAGGGGAAGGGCGGGAGAGAGAGAGGGAGAGAAACATCAATATGAGATTGCCTCTCATATACCCGCAACTGAGGACCCGGCTCAGAGCCCAGGCATGTGCCCTGACTGGGAATCGAACCAGTGACCCTTTTGTTCACAGGCTGGCACTCAGTTCACTGAGCCACACTAGCCAGGGCACCACTTTACTTTTAAATTCAAAATAACTAATAAGCAAAATAAACACAGGCTCATAGACAGAGAGCAGACCAACAGCTCTGGGGAGGGCTAGGGCATGGAGGGATCAAACAAAAAAGGGAAAAAACAGAAAGCGCTCATGGACACAGACAACAGTGTGGTAATTGTAGGGGGGAGGAGGATGGATGGATGTGGAAGACAGCATAGGGGAATAAACTGTGATAGAACAGATAAACAGAGATTCCTGTGCTTAAAAAACATATAAAATACAAGGTTAAAGTTAATGAGTATTGGATAAAATAAATAAAAATTTCAAGGTTAAAGTTAATGAGTATTGGATAAAATAAATAAAAATTTCAATAAAATAAAGAATCACAGGTATATGCCCTGGCTGGTGTGACTCAGTGGATTGAGAGCCAGCCTGCAAACAAAAAGGTCACCAGTTTGATTCCTGATAAGGACACATGCCTCAGTTTCCAGCCAGGTTGCCAGTTGGGGAAAAAGGGGAGGCAACCAATTGATGTTTTTCTCCCTCTCTTTCTGACTTTCTCCCTCTAAAAATAAAAATAAATGAAAAAAAATTTTTAATGGTGAGGATAGCTAACTGTAAAAAAGGAAAAAAGAATTGCAGGTATGTTACATAGTTAAAACCAGTATCTTAAGAACTTGAATGGGGGAATATAAGGGCTTCCTAGTAGAGCTCTTCAGTGGGAGGCCATTCAGTAGGAAAGTCGCTGGACGCTGAGCCTGTCCCCTTAACAAATTCCCATATTCCCACTGCCATGCAAGCTCTGCAGCATCAGATGGTGAGGTGTAGAACATCCTCTCTTCTGTTAATAACCACTTTTATCCTGCTCTGCCTCCTGGATGTTTATAGGAATAGGTTCCTCCTAAGATGCTGGGTTACAGCCTTTATAAATCATTATCCAACTAGAAAACATGCTTGAAATTTTTAAAATGTATTAGTTTGATTTTGATGATAAAGATATTTCTTAAGGCTTAAGAAAAGCACAGAATTTGGAGTCATACTATTAGTTTACTGGCAGTGTGATCTTTGGCAAATTAAGTTTTCTAAGCTTAATTTTCTTATCTGAAGTTGATAATGCTCACTGTTAAAAGGTTATTACAAAATCTAAATGAGAAAATGTTATGAAAAGCATTTAATACAGTGCACAACAAAACAGAAATAAATGACTTAAAAAATTTGGTATTTATTTTTAGAGAGAGGAGAAGGAAAGAGAAAACGAGGAAGAGAAACCTCAATGTGAGAAAGAAACATTGCTTGGTTGCCTCTTGCACACCCCCAACTGGGGGACTTGGCACAACCTGGGCATGTGCCCTGACTGAGACTGAAACCAGTGAGCAACCTTCTGGTTTGCAAGATGACACCCAATCCACTGAGCAACACCAGTCAGAGCTAAATGATTTTTTAAAAACAGTTCATCTGTGTAGCATAACAAAATTGTAACTAGGGATCATGATTAATTTGTTCCTCACTTTTGTACCAACTAGTTTATACATATACATAATTTGAAAGTAAAAAATGTATTCTCACATATATTTTATCCTTATGAAAACAGCAAGGCATCTATTTATGCTCATTTTATAAATATCAAATTTAAGTGACTCCCAACTACCATCCTGTAGAACTGGTACTCGAACACAGTTGTTTTATAACAAGTATTTTTCCTACTATTAAAAAATAGTATAGCTTGTTAAAAAAGTGCTATTAAACTTTTTAAAAAACAACTTAAACATTTTGAAAGGAAATTATTCAACAAGCAATTACACACTTTCTGGCCACCTTCAAAATAATATATTAAACATAATATAACCGCGCATCTTCTTGATGTCACAGATCTGTTAGGATCTACCATTGTAACTAAATTACAACAATGTGGTGACGTTCCTATTCTATGCTCTTCAAGACTTCTTAGGCAAGTAGGGTATCTATACTTGATTTATTACAGATTGTTAAAATTAGTCTTGCAATGTAAAGTTTTTGTTTTCCTTCTTTGACTGAACTGCCACTTTCTATAGCTAATTAGTGTTCTTTGCCAGAAAAGCCAGTTTTAAATTCCTTATTTCTTACTGCTCATCTACTGGGCATCAGATAACCCTATCTCTTACCACTTATGCATAAAATAAGGAGACATGAACCCTTGATTTGAAATCTTATATTTAAATTTTATAGTCCAACGTACATAGTCAAATGATGCCAAATCATATTTTCTTAAAACTGAAATACTTCTTATACTAAGATAATACAATTTTTAAAGATCTAAGAATAGATTATGAATGTAAGTTATTTAAATGAAACACTTCTATAAAATAAAATTAAATAAAAATAAAATGCTGAGTTTTTCTTTAAAAGGCTATACATTATATTCCTAATATTTAAGTCTTAAGCTAAGAAAAATTAATATATTTTAATTTAAAAAAGAAATAACTGACAAAAAAGTCATTAAAAATACATACTAGTTTTTAAAATACTAACAAAATTCCCATTCTTAAAATATTTAGATTTGCAATTGCAATATTTACAGCATCCTTAAAAAATATGAGCATTAGTGCTTCCTTCCTAATTTTACTTTTTCTGTAGTTACAAACATCTAGAATGAGATACCTTATAAAACTACTGCAATCTTCTAGAGTTGTTTCTAGCACTCTAAAAATATTCAAAATAATTTAAAAGAAAGAAATACAGTATGCTTTTTAAAAAGTTTAAACGTACCTCATCACCCATCTGTGGTACAAATGGACATCTTCGGGGAATAGTATCGGTAATCCATGTTGAAGGCAACCATTCTTCTAACGTCAACCCATTTTCTGTTAGTTCTCCTACAGCCAACCTCTAAGGTTTAGAACATTTAAAGTAGTATTATCATAAAAGTATTCATCTACAACCTGTCCTTTAAAATAATTATAAAGGTAGTTGAATAAATAAAGGGAAGTGAATCATTGTGCAATATATGTATTCTTCAGGTATTAAAAATCTATTCTGGAAAGATGTCAGTAGTAGCAGTGTAGTATTTAATCACTCCAAAATAACTACATAAAAAAGAACTAAATAAGCCAAAACCCTGAAGAAACCATTCAAAACAAAATTAAGTGTCAAGATATTCCCATAAACACCAAAATATAAACTCCAAGTAGTCTCCCTGTCACAGTTCTATTAGTTTTATAAAGTTTCCATTTAACAAAGCACATCTGAGTCTTTTTTAAAAATGTCCTAGTCATAGTGTGTTAGTAACAACTAGATAATATATTCTCGTATGGGCCGATTAGTGCAAGACACAGAAGGCTAACTGTTTCCATGGCTGGGCATTATACTTCTACATAGCCCAAGAACACTCTTGTCCTTCTCCCCTTTAGAGTAGCTATTTCACAATCTTGGCTCACATTTAGCTTTTAACAAAAAATTTTTCTTCAGATATTTTCCAAACAAAATGTTGTTAAGACGGGTCCCTTACTTTTTATTTTTGTGGATAAATATAAAGTTATGCCTCTGAGAAAAACCTTTTTAACTTTGATGGTCCCCTACAAGTAGCCAAAATGATCTGGATGTTGTTACCTTAAGACTTATGAAAAAGGAACTTCTAAGAGCCTTTGAAACCTAAGATTTATAAGCAGAGAAAGTTCATGCAATCGATTAAAAATGTTTTGGTACAGTGTTTGTATATTATGATTCCAAGTTTTATTCTCTTGCGTTTTTTAAAAAAAGAAGACAGTTGTCACTAAGTTAGTGCAAGTTCACCTAAAAGAAGCAATGTCATACTGAGGTTATGACAGAACACTATTTGCAACAGATACTGCTACAGCTGCTACTCAATATCCATTTTCTCTTCATTAACAACATCTTCCTGCTTCTCAAACACATCAGGAGCACTCTCTCTTTGGAGAAAAAGGGATGGGAAAAGATTGGCATTTACTACATGTGACATGGATCTACTGGAGAGAATTCTAGTCAGGAGTGATGGGATCTGACTTACATTTTAAAAGAATCACTACAGATGCATCAAAGCAGCCATTTTCAAACGATGGCCCATACACAGTCCAAGCTCGGCGTGCTCTCTCTAAATCAAATTTTATTGGAACACAGCCATGCTCATTCATTTATGTATTGTCTATGGCTGCTTTCAGGCTACAATGGCAGAGCAGCTGGACCTTTACAAAAAAAATTTATCAATACATGCTTTTAGAAAATAGATTCTAGGTGATAAAGGGCAAAGGCATGAAGACAGGTGGAAGGCTACTGTAATAATACAGGTGAGAGTTCACAGTAGCTAACACTAGTGACAGCAGAAATGTTGAAAATAGTTAAATGCTGAACATATTTAGAAGAGCCAAGATAATTCCCTGATGGGCTGGATACACAATATGAGAGAAAAAGGAGAATTAAGCATAACACCAAGTTCTGGGTATAAATAACTAAGTCGTTAATGTTGAGAAGAGAAGGACTAGACTGCAACAGGTTAGAAAGAAACTCTTAGAAAATAAGTTTTGTATGTGTAAAATGTGCAATGTTAAGTCAGGTCATATTTGACCAGTTATTTTATCCACAAAGGGTTACTGAATAGCCATTGCTACTATGTACTGAGTACATCACAGAGTTAGTTCCACAGATTGTATCAGTTTTCTTTAATGAGGTTTTGAGTTAAAGTGTGTTTTGAAAAAGGTGTCCTTTGACTTAATAAAAACAAGTAGAAAAAGTCTGAAAACTGGTAATTCCGGCCTCAATATGGACTATCAATTATACTAGGCAAGTATCTCTCCCCATAAGGAAAATTCTATGTTGACTGGGATAGCTAACAATTCTAACACAAAGCCAGATTAAGTTGGATGTTCAACAGGAATAACCATAGTTATAACTGTAAGACCCGGGCATAGCCAAGAATCATTATGACGATAATTCTTATTCACCAATAATTCTTAGGAAACCCATAATTTTTGGTTAAAGTATATTTCTGTCTAATGCTTAAAACTACTTAGGGAATAAATTGCACTGAATATTCCTCAAACCTTCCAGTCTCATGATTTGAGATTAAAAAAATTTTTTTGAGATACAGGCAATTAATTTTTTCTTCCTATCCAGAAATTTTTCTAGCCCCACCTCAAATAGTATTTCTTCTGAAGCCCGTATCTGAAACTCTGGAATGAGATGTTCCCATTTGATTTCTGATTTATTACTTTCAAAATTAATCTGGAAACAACTGATCAATGTTTCTCTCATGCATCAATGTTGCTGTTTCCTTCTACCTCTTTTCCCCTCTATCTAAAAATATATAATTAAAATCTTTAAAATATTAATCGGGCAACCAAACATGTATTTCTTCTATTTTTATCTTGGGGAATTCAAGCAACTTGTCGGTCACAGATGTGTTTTAAGGTTTTACTTATTTAATTTTAGAGAAAGGGAGAAAGAGAGGGAGAGAAACATCAGTGTGTGGTTGCCTCTCTCCTGCCCCCTACTTGGGACCTGGCCCACAACCCAAGCATGTGCCCTGACTGGGAATCTAACCAGTGACCCTTTAGTTTGCAGGCACGCACTCACTCCACTGAGCCACATCAGCCACGGCAGTTGCACATTATTTTTAGAATAAGTACTATGTCTTATACTTCTGTCTATCCACTGTATTGCTTTATAGATAGCAAGCATTCAATAAAAATGTATTGATCTGGTTTCCAGATCTCTTAAAAGCATAAGGGATATATGTCAGATATTATCTGAGATTTGCTTACTGCATTTTTTATATCTGCCTTACTGATTCTTGTTTAACTGAAAAAGAATGTCATATGGAAAATATTTTCATCCATGCAATATTATCAATTACTTAATGATCTGTTACTTTCCAGCACTACTACTCTTCATAAAAAGGGAAATACTACTTGAGATAGTAGTATAATACTTCTTGAGATAACAAGAAGACTAAGGAATAAGAACAAGTCTATGCAGTGTTCAATTCACTCACTGGTAGGCTAACACCAAACGATTTGAATAAAATTCAAATTAAAGGAAATGGTCTATAATATCTTAAAACTTATTAAATTTAAAATGGATCCCACCTAAATTTAATGGCAGACAGATCCTGTTATAATACTTCAAGAGAAATAGTGAAATTAAAATACGGCAAATGGTAATAGTGGATCCAAATGTGGCACTGCATGAAGGAGCCCAAGGTATTAGTTCATAGATAATTATCAAACCAAGAGGACCACAAAGTAAACTGTGCTCTTGGGACAAAAGAATTACATTCTCACAGTGTAAATCTCAAAAGTTCATCAAAATTATCCTGAGATTAAAAAAGTGTTTATATTATTAGTTAGATACATGGCTACACAAGTTTTCTTTAACCATTACCACATAAAATAATGGGTCCATATACATTTCTCACTGACAAAACAGAAGGAAAAGAAAACTGTGAGCAAAAGCATGGTATTCTCTTTGATAAATCTTCCCCAGACAAAAGTAAAGGAGATGATAAGAATAGTAGGCAATGGAATCCAAATTAAAGTAATTCATAATCATAGAGATGAGGGAAACAAATGCTCAACTGACACAGATAAAATAAACACTTAAGACAAATGTATTCTTAAAAAAATTTCAAGTTGGCCCTGATCCATGTGGTTCAGTTGGTTGGGTGTCATTCCACAAAGCGAAAGGCTGCTGGTTCAATTTCTACTCAGGGCACAAGCCTGGGTTGTGGGTGAGGTCCCCCCGGTCAGAGCAAGTACATGAGACAACAGATCAATGTTTCTGTCTCACAACAATATCTCTCTCCCTCTCTTTCTCCCCCCTTTCCCCGCTCTCTAAATATAAATAAAATCTGTTAAAAAATGTCAAAATTCTCTGGGGATAAAGACCTTATAAGTTCCCCCAGGATTTCACACTACAAACGACAAGCTAAGGAGCATCTAATTATGGCTCACAAACTGTATAAATAAACAAAGGTTTGTTAAAACAACAGTATCCTACTTTAGATTCACATTTGCATTGTGCTCAGCTATGACAAGTTTTGCCAGTCTAATTCCAGGTGATGTTCCCACTATGCTTTCTGTTTATTTTCAGCAATAAAAATGAGGATTAAAAGGTAAAGGCAATTAAGAGACTAACAAACTGTGTATTTTATAGCATTACTTTTTAAATATGCATAAATAAATCTCACCAGATTGTCAAGAAAAATCTGCTCCTGTTATAAGACTAAATGCTCAATATTTAGAATATAATTGATTCTACAAAGAAACACCATCACATTCTAAACATTTAATGCTTAAATAAACTAAACATATTTTGGTACCCAGTAAAGTCCTCACCATGCCAAAAGGTTCTCTGACTTATAACAAAGTCAAAATGATGTATAACAAAAACCAATTTATGAGAGGTTAATTAACATAAATAAAAGTTAAATTTCTACAGCATCTTATCAATGTAACATCAAAAGACATTGAAAGAAACACCATTCAAGGACCTGCTATACTCTATTTTACTCTTGTGTACTTGGAAGGTCTTTTATTACTATTTGTTGGTATACCTCAACAATGTTAATGTTCATCAACTACATTTTTAAAATGTGTGCTTTGCTTTCACAGAAAACATTAGTTATATATATATATATATTTATGTATTTATTAAAAAATCAACCTTTTGTTTTCTTTCTTTGGGCTTTTTTTTCTTTGGTGATATTGGTCCATCTTTCTCTTCATTTACTTTTTTCTTTTCCTTTTTAATCTGTTTTTGCTTCTGTTTTTCAGATTCTTCTTCTTCATCTGAACTGCTTTCTGCCTTCTTGGTTTTATGCTTAGGAATTTTCTTTGGTGGCTGCAGATTAATTCCTGCATCAGCTGTCCAATCAGAATAGTCACTGGAGTAGTCACTACAAGAGAAAAAGGGTTTAAAAAATACACAAACACAAGATAATGTTAAGGCTTTGTCTTATAAAAATGCAAAAAAGAGATTATAATAAAGAGAAATAACAAAACAGTACATATTAATGAACTAAAAATAGTTCCCTAACTTTTAACTCGTCTTCTAAAGAGTTTTTTAAAATTCTATAGGCCTAACTTATTTAAATATCCAAAAAAGTTAAGATAAATAATAAGGTCATAGCTTTAACTGAAACAATGAATTTAAATGCCTTCTATGATTTTAGCCAAAAATTGATCTAGGAATGTTTTATCTGTTCAAAATATTGTGAGGCATACAAAAATAAGAAGCAGAGAGTCACCTTCCTTAATTCTAGCAACAGCAGAAAGACAGCCCTGGAGAGCATAGAAGATAAACATTACGGAGGAAGTATAGGAATTCCTTTCTTGAGAGGTGAGAGCTCTGGACAAGGGAGACTCCTATGTTAAAGCACTGATGCCCTGATTTTGAACTGGCAGAGCCAGAAGTATTCTTACCCAGTGAGAAGACTGTCAGTGTAAGTTTTACTTAGCATTTACATATATACCTTAGATATAATCTTATGCTTCAAAGCATGTCATGACTCAGAAAACTACAGGTTTTATTATCTTATGAATCACTACCAATCATGTTTGATTACTTCTTTTCAGTTTACTTTCAATGGACCTAAGTCTTACTTAACTGATATTGTTGCAAAATAAAGAATCCAATTATGACATTTTCTGTTTCAATTTTTGTACATGAAACTATTACTTGATGGTATCAAGTTTTACAAGTGTAAATGCCTTAAATCTAAATTATACTATGTTAAAATCAATAATCATTTGTCCAGGTTTAGTGATACATGACCTCACTCTTCTCTGAAAATATTCCTGGTAAATCCTGAAAGGACATTTTTCTGGAGTTTTATTCTAATACCACCACCTCTTCCTCTGGCCCAATGTCTTTTTATAAACATTTACCTGTATCTCCTTAAAAAGGATCATCACAGATAAAACTTAAGTAATTTACTGGTTTACTAGTATAATTTTCATGACTTCATTTTACAATTTAAGATGATTCTGAAGAACTTTAATTAAATATTTTTCAGACACTATTCTGTAGGCATACAAACGCATCTGCAGGCAAAAACATCTATCCAAGAATAAACTGTATTCAACTTATGAGCATGTATTTACACTTATCCTTCCAGGCCATGGTCACTCTAAATGGCACCTGGCAAATACTGATAGTTGCTCCTCTCTGGAGCACTTAGCTCTTATGGGAAATCTGCTGCTGCCAGCAAAGGTCTAACTATAAACCCGACAAACCTTAAAGTGCAATGTTCTTTACAGCACTGTCCTCAACTGCTAAAGTAAAAAAAAAAAAATTTTTTTTTCTGGCCTATTTCAAATGTAGAAAACTACCAGACATAAACATGGACACTTGCATACCATTACTAGGAAGAACTGTTGTGGAAATAGGAAAGCCCTTGATTCTAACACTGATATAAGGAATTCTTTTTTAAAAAATAAAAATATGTTTATTGATTTTAGGGAAAGAGAAGGAAATAACGATTGGTTGCCTTTCATATTTGTTCCAGGGGATCGAACCACAACCTTGGTATATCCGGACAGGGAACCAAACCACAACATTTTAGTGTACAGGATGACGCTCTAACAAACTGAGCAATGTTGGCCAGGGCATATAAGGAATTCTGATAGCTTCTACCTCCTGGTTCCTCTGGAAATTTTATTTTAGAAGCTACTGCTGCTGGAGAATAAGTGTGTGAGGCTAAACTTAATTACCATTTCCAAAGGCTACACTCCTTGCTATTATTAAGGCTTTACCATGTCAGTCAAGAAGATCAGCCCTGTAATAATGTGCATTGCTAATATAAAGAATTGGAAGGCATCCTCACTAACACAGTCAAATAAGGTGGGAATAACAGAAAAGGAAAAAAAGCTTATTCTCATTGCTGAAAAAAGAAATTATTAATAGCATTCAACAAATTCCACTATATAAGATAGTAAATTCTACAAGCTCTCATTACTTTCATAATTTAATGTTCAAATATTTCTCAAAACTAGTTTGTGGTTCAGTGCTGAAATCACAGCATTCAATAATAAAATATCAACTAGGAAGATAAAGTTAAAAGCACCATTTTGCAGATCTAGTTTTCCTAGAAACTAGTTTTTCTTCTTCTACTAGAGAAAACATGTCATGAAGAAAATCTAAATTTTGGACAACTCCAAAAATCTCTGAAGAAGAAGCAACTTTTAACCCAAAGAGACTCTGAAAAATGTTGTTGGTAAAGAATCTTCAGCTTTCTAAAGAGTTTTTATTACATTTGAAAAAATAAAAATTCATTAAAGTACCTAGAGCTGCCATCACTGTGCCATGCTCTCTCTTCTTCTTCAGAGGTTCCACCACTGACAGCAACAACTTCACCTTCCTATGAGATATTGAGTATATATTTTATTGTGCAATATTACCAAAAAAATACAATTATGTAATATCACCAATCAAGTTATTTAAATTAAAACCTGATTTATATTAATTACAAAATAGACCTCAGATTTTATACAAAAATTATTCATTGTATTTAATAATTATTAAATTTATCCAAAGATATAATACTTATTAATATTGGATTCAAAGCAATCTCTTGGATAAATAACATACAGAGTGGGACAAAAGTAGGTTTGCAGTTGTTTATATGGAAAATACAGTAATTAATAATAACACAAGAATAAATTCTGTTTTGTGTAGTCACAACTATAAGCCTACTTATGCTCCATCCTGTTACTTTGTTTGTTATTTTAAGAAGCCTTATAACTTATCTTCTAGCTTGGATTCAAATTCCATAGCTGACATAGCAAATCAATTTTTACCTCTTTGACCTTTGTTAAAATTTAAGCTTTTTTTTTCTTCTATAGATGCTTTGGGAAACTTAAAATTAGGAACTTTTATGTTATATTAGTATTAAAATAACTTTATCATACAAAATAAAAAGAATATTCCAGTTCTGGTATTACTCAAATGGTAGAAGATTAAAAACTACCCAAACACTGTGTTTCTTTAATTTCTATTTACTATAACTGAAAAAAATCTAAACAGATGATCTAATTACTCCCACCCCTAGTATATCATTTCTTTAAAGAGAGAGTAAAAAACATATTGCTAAATATAAAATAGTCACTATGTGAAACTACAAAATATCTAAACCAAAAAACCAGGAGTTTTTTCATTAATTAATACATTCTGCCCAAGGTGCTATTTTGTTCTTAATGTACTCCTCTAGAATTTAATTTAATTGCTATAAAAAAATGGTAAAGCATAAACAAATTAGTTTGAGGAAGAATGAATAAATTTTTCTTATGTTAACAAGTTTACCTAAAAATATATGTTTCTACTAAGGTGAATCATATTTAAAATATGTTCTAGAAACTTAGTATTAAAAGAATCATACTTAACTCTTTCAAAAATAAAGATATATTTTATAAGGCAAATAATTAGCCCACATACATTTTATGTTTTGTATGTATATTTAAATAGTCACATGTCAAGTTTATATAATTAGTAAATTTGGTCTTTTTACCAGATTGGACATATCTTAACCTGGCCATACTAAGACTAAAGCCACCAGAAATTAACTTTTAAATTAAAGTTAGAATAGTTAATACTGCCCTGGTCAATAGAAAATATACTCAGTGAATTCCCATATATGTCTAACATTCTCAAACAAAGTATGGCTTCAAAAGTGTAATAGTACTCAATGTCTAAGATCATAAAGTCTTTGACCTAACTGTGGGAGAGAGGGTGTTTGGGTGAGTGGGGGAAGAGAGATGGTTGTAAGTGCTAAACAGAATTAATTTTTGCTTGCAAATGAACTACCTTTGCTGAAATATTTAATTTAGTAGAAATAATGATATTTACAGAAATATTTATACATAAGGAATATTTTTAAAATTACACTGAGAAAAACTAAAGTGGTACAGAGATTAAAAAGTAAACAAGATTGTTAAATGCTTATTAATCAGTTATTATAGTTACAAATTAGAACTTCATGGTACCATTTTAAAAGGTTGGCTTTAGAGTAAAAGGAACCTTGGTTTAATCCCTGCTCTACCATTTCATAGTTAGGTAAATGTGTAAAAACATCTTAGAACCTCAGTTCCTGTGTGTGTGTGTGTGTGTGTGTGTGTGTGTGTATATGTGGAAATCATGCAAATTTGTTCTGTGCATCTGAGATTACCAATATATGTGCTATGCCTACAACACATATAGTAGGTCTTCAGTAAATGGAAGATATCACTATCATTTTAAGGCCTAGAAATAACATGTTTGAGCTAAATATAATCAAATCATCTATAAATATAATCAATGAATGTGAAGAGTGAAAGGCATATTTTTTTTTAAAAAAAAGTAACAATGGAAACGGAAATTTATGAATGTGCTGAGATCTTACATCTGAAGAGCTAGTGCCATTTTCTATGTCTTCTGAAGGTCTAGGAATCTCTTCTAAAGCAGATCTTGTGCGATAACTGTGTTGATTTGCCTGCTGTTTTTTGGATTCTCCAAGATCCAGGAAAGGCTCATGAGCATGATTCTGAAAAGAAGTAAATTAAATTTGTTTACAGTATGCTTAAAGAGTTAACTTTTTATTGTACTTTAAAAGTTGTATTTTAATTATAAAAAATCCATTCATATTTGTGATACTAACATAAGTAAACTATATTAGAGTATCAGCTCAAATATTTTAAGATTACAACAAGTTAAATAACAGGTTTGCAATACGTTGAAATTCACTTGTTGATACGTAAGTTATAAAATCTTTGCTTTTGATTAATAGTGACTTAAAGATTCATAATAATAGACTAAGCCTAACATTGAATTCTCCTATACCCACACCAAAACAAACCTACAGAATGGGTATGAGAAAGAGGACCACAGGTTGTGAGGCATATTAATAGACAGAGGCAAACTGGAAATCAGAATGGTGATCACAACACTACCCTGCCACTATGAGATTAGGATACCAGGTGGCTGGCTCTCTGTCTTCTACTACAGATGAATTTGGAAGACCTCTTCTGTACCAGAAGAAAACACCACTAACAGCCATCCAAAAAAAACTGATAAAGTCCATACGGTAACAGAGATGAAAAAATTCAGTAAACATAAGAATTTATACCTAAGAAAAAAACCCTTAAGAATATAAAGAATAAAGGAAAAATAAACATTACTTTCAAAGAGAAACCAACATCAGACTTATACATACAACACAATAAATCATACAATAAGAAAAGGAACACTGTTAAAGTGTTGATGAAAAATAATTGACCCTATAATTCCATCCTCACTTTTTCTCTCATTAAACTTTGTTTTAGTAGGTCTTAAAACACTGTGACAGGCTTTTGGCCAAGTAGTTTCCATTAAAATGTACTGATTTAAAAATAAAATGGTCCACAGAATGTTTTCGTTTCCCTAAAGATTTTATTATGTACTATTATCATTAACCAGTCTTTTACTATTAAACTTAAATGGCCACTGAGAAAAACAGTTCTGAGATGTTCTTCTGCCAATGATTAAGATGATGTGGCAGGTATTAGGGATGATAAATATGTCCATATTTTGCCATATACAAGGCACACTTTTTTGCCCAAATTTTTTAGAGAAAAATAAGGATACACATTATACATGGGTAGTGCCTGAAATACCTTGTACCTGTTCTTGTGTTTTGCAATTATTTGTTACATAAAATTTCTTGTAACATATGTACAAAACTAGTGCTAATATTCCTTTATAATATAAAAAACAAGTATCTAAATATAAATAAATAATTGAATTTAAAAATTAAAAGATTTTTTCTCTGAAATTTTGGGCCAGAAATGTGGGTGCTCATTATACATGGCAAAATATGGCAAGCCTCCTGAGCCCCCTGAACAGACATGAGTGACTCTGCCAGCTGAAGCAGCCTTCTTGTCCACTGCTTTATTGATTTAAACCTACAATAAATGTTCATCCCATGTCACAAAAAGCAAAATGACCCAGAGTAGGACAGTCAGAGAAGCTCTCAACACACATGGACCCTCCAGGAACAAGATCAACAATGGCAGCATCAATGTATTTCAAGAATCTGGGGCCATCTTCCAACTTCTTCCTAGAAAGGCAACCAATCCTCTTCAGCTCAGCAAACTTATAAGTAACATCAGCTGTGTGGCAATCCAGCACAGGTGCATGGCTCAGGATAATCACCTGCTTCCACTGGTGGGTTATTTTAGCTATCACCAGCCACGTTACCACCATAAGCAACTTTGACAGACACATTCTTGATACCGAGGCCCACACTGATCCCAGGAAAAGCTTCACTCAAAGCTTTGTGGTGCACTTCAACAGACTTTATTTCAGTTATAAAAGTAACTGGAACAAAGGTGACCACCATGCTCTTGACTCACATAGGACACTACCAATACCACCAATTTTGTAGATATCTTGGAGATGCAGTTGATAGCAAGATACAATCCAGAGCTTCAAGTAGCATGGTTCCAGTGGCATCGCCATCTTTACAGGTGACTTTCTAGCCCTTGAATCAATCATGTTACTATTAACCACTGGCTCCACTATGTTGTCACCATTCCAATGAAAAATTGGCACAAATGCTACTGTGTTGAAGTTGCAGCCAGTTTTCTTAATGTAAGTGCTGATTCCTATTTTCTTATATCTTTTATGGTTATACCATGGCCCAGTAGAATCCATTTTGTTAACACTTCATGTGCGTTTGAAGGTCATTTTCTTTCTCCCTCCAAACTTTCAGAATGTTCTCTTTGTTTTAGATGTTTTCAAATCTCATATTAATGTGCTTAGTTGAGGTTTTAAAATTTTTTGTTTTATATTACATTTTCTTTATTGATCCTGTTTGACACATTAGCCAGAAGTTACTTCTAGGAAATTCTGGTTATTTTTTTAAACTGTTCCCTCTGTGTATTTTCTCTTCTTTCAAGACTCTTACTAAATAATATTTATACTACTGCTTCTATTCTCACAAACTGTACACATATGCATTACATCTATATTTGTTTTTTCCATATCCCTCCTTCTCTCCATCATTTTATTCCCTGTTGATGCATTCTGGGGTGTTCTTCAACTTGACTTTCCAGGTTACCAACTAATTTTTCAGTGTTCTATATTCTTTTATTCAACACACCCAATGAATTCTCAATTTCAACAATGATATGTTTCACCCCAATTACCTCTAACAGAATCCTCTTCAAAATTGCTCATCACAACAAGCTTCCAATATCCCCTTCCTATCTGAGAATATGCTATTTTGAATGTCTGTTCTGTGCATTCCATTAGTTTCCCTATGTAAGTCATATAAGTTCATTTGTATTGTGGCTTTCCCCCTCCCCCCTCATCATAATAATTTGGCTTCACTGTTAGGTAGTACCACTGCACTGGAGAAGGAGAGAGAAAGCTTAAAAATCTAGGGCTTGCTTTGTACTCCCCAAGATTTTGGATGTGCATGAGGGAGGAAGGGTATGCACATCTAGAGATCTATAAAATTGTAATCTGAACTCAACCATTCATATTCCTTCATCCAACACCACTCTCCAGTTTCTTCCCCACAACCAGCCTTTCCTGCTTTCACTGAAACTCTTTCCTATACTTCAGCCCTACTCTTGTTGGGACAGCTACTAGGAATAGCCAAGAGAAATAAAAGATAATTTCATACAGTACAAGGACACAAGAATTACTCCACACAGATTCTCTAAAAAGAATACTGTATTCCCTGGCTTGTGTGGCTCAGTGGATAGAGTGCTGACCTGTGAACCAAAGGGTTGCTGGTTCAATTCCCAGTCAGGGCACATGCCTGGGTTGCAGGCCAGGTTCCTAGTAAGGGGCATGCAAAAGGCAACCACACATTGATAATTTTCCCCTCTCCCTTCTTCCCCACTCTCTAAAAATAAAGAAATAAAATATCTTTTTTTAAAGGATTTTTTTAAAAGATTTTATTTGCTTTTTTAGAGAGGGAAGGGAGGGAGATAGAGAGAGAGAGAGAAACATCAATGTGCGGTTGCTGGGGGTCATGGCCTGCAACCCAGGCATGTGCCCTGACTGGGAATCAAACCTGCGACACTTTGGTTTGCAGCCCGCGCTCAATCCACTGAGCTACGCCAGCCAGGGCTAGTAAAATATCTTCTTAAAAAAAGGAATACCACATGATTTGGTAACTTTTTAAAAATTTGGGAAATATGTAAAGGTATAAAAAAAGAAAATTGTTCAACTACAATCTTGTAAGTTTTGAGTAATCCATTGTTAAGAATGTGATATACCTTGCTTTTTTCATTTAACATAAATATATTTATCTACTCAATTCTACTTCATAAAAAATTGCTGTTCCATTTTGTAAAGTTTTAGCCACAATTTTATATTTCTTTAGGAAAAATGTGATTTGAAGAATAAAAACATTTTTAATGCCTTAATAAATAATGCAGTGCAAGGGAAAACTGTCAACCAATATCTGTAGTCCCTTCTTACAGAAAGAATTAAAATTTTCTTTGTTGAGATTTCATGGGACTAAATTCTGGCCAATGGGATGTCTGGCACAATGCCAGAGAATTTCAACGAACTTTCCTCAGGAGGGCATATGTGCCCTCATAGACTTTATTCTCCATTCTGTAGGCTTAAGTGATAATCTTCATGCATGAGGTCAAATTCATACACAAAAGGACTGGAAAAATAAAAGAAATTCAGTTCTCAACAATGAAGGCATTATACACTAGGCCTAACCACTTACCATATTTCTCTCTATATACTAGAAATATATTTGCACCTTACTTAAGTCACTGTAATTTTGGGACCAAACCTACTGCCAAAAATCAACTTGATAACTGCTCTCTGAAGAGTTTTACATTAATTTTTACTTCCCACCAAGACAGTAAGTATCCTGCATTATTAAAATTAAAAAAACATTGCAACTCTACCCCTGGATGGGTGACTCAATTGGTTGGAGTGCCATAACATACACACAAAGGTTGCTGGTTCAATCCCCAGTCAGGGTACATACGAAAGGCAACCAATTGATGTTTCTCTCTCACATCAATGTCTCTCTTTTTCCTGCTCCCTCCCTGCCTTCCTTTACATATCCTGGGATTGTTGGGAACCGCCCTGCCTGGTTTCAGAAGCTGTAACCCCTACCAAGGCTAAGGCTGAGGGTGTGAACTTGGACTGTAAGCCACCAAGGAGACAAAAGCTTATCTCCCTGGCAGGAGCACTGCTTCTGCTCCTTTTACTTCATCCATAACTGGCCCTCAATGCTTGGTAGGTTAGCCAATGACGGGTAAGATTCCCCAAGGGAGGGAGTGACCTAAGATAGGCACAATCACATGGGAAGGACTTGGGGGGGCTACAGTGAAAGGGAATGATGGACCCTTGCCCCTCGGCTTTGACAAAGCCCGAGTCTTCATTCTGTCTACGAGAAATCTCCTAGTCTCCTGGCTGCCTTGCTTCCCTAGCTCCCTCCACCTAAGCCTGAAACAAGGACAGAAGGTGGTGCAGCCCTGTGCTGGAAAGGGCGGGTTCCCTGGGTGATGAGGCCTAAGAAAGAGTATGTAAAATACTGTAAAACCTGCTTTGTTTAGAATTCTCTCAATTAAATGATAAGGATCCAAGCAAGAAGTAAGTTTGTTCCTCAAAGTTTTACAGCTCTTTAGCTATTTGACCCTGACTCAAAATAGGCCCTCAGAGGTCATTGTTTGATCATTACTGCCTGGCAATGATTAATGAGCTTTACCTGAATTCTTGTGTAAATGAACCCTAAAAAAGCCCATTGAGGAACAGGCTCCTGGCCCTTCTCCTCTGAGAGACTGGCCACCTTTCCTCCCCAAGCAGATCACATCCTGGTAGACTTATTCTCATCCACCCCAGCTGCCACAGATGAGAATAAGAAGTATTAAAAAAACAAAACAATGCAATTCTAAAATGAAAGATGATATCTCATAAATTGTACATCTGTGATTATCAATGTCAGTTGCCTACGCTTTCAAAATCCACCCCAGCTGCCACAGATGAGAATAAGAAGTATTAAAAAAACAAAACAATGCAATTCTAAAATGAAAGATGATTATCTCATAAATTGTACATCTGTGATTATCAATGTCAGTTGCCTACGCTTTCAAACCTTCATTCTCATAAAATTCATTTCTTCTCTCTCATCAAATTTGAAAAACAAAAATGAGGTCATATTGTAAACATTATTGTTCAACTTGCTTTTATTCACTTAGCAATAACATATCCTAAAAACTTCATCAAGGTAATGGAATGAACTCTAACTCATTTTTAAAAAATATTGTATAATATCCTACCTTTCTCCCAAAAATAGACACTAAGGTTATTCTAGTTTGGCAACCAGGGGCACTGTAAATATTTGTTTGTGCAGAGGTGCTTGAGTGCACATGTATATACATAACATCAGTACTTTTCTTTCTTAAAAAGCATTTAAGTTAAAGTAGTACTTTTGGATAAAAAGAAAAGTACATCCTTTTCATTTTAATAGACAAGACCATATTCCATCTGTAAAAGTTGTAGCAATACAACTCACAATCATTATATGAGTTTATGTTCCCATATCCTTGGATTCTGAGCAAAAGATACAGGAAAAGGTATGCTTTCTAGCCACCATGAAAAAAACTGCAAACTAACAAAACCCCAAAACAAAAAATTATTTCAGATTATACCACCAAGAAATCTGTGTGGAGTCCTACTGATCCCAGGGTATGATACACTCAGTGAAGAAAAGGATAAAATAGCAAAAGACTACTTGAGTACTTAAAAAGGTAAAGTCACAAAAGAGAAAAGAAAGTTCTAGAAAAGTAGACTAATTCAGGTTTTGAAAAACTCAAAAGGAGACAGAAGCACAAAGCTGGCTCAAGAAACCAGCTTTATTCATATAGGTTTCCTCAATTTTAGATTCTAAGTCTGAAGCTTTCAAGCTCATTAGTTTACAAAAACATGTAAGAATGGATAACTGTGACTCATTCACACTTGAAATAAGTATGCACCTCCCAGATTATTGCCATGACCATCTAAAATACACTTGATCCAAGTTTTCCCAGATTAGGATAACAGAGAAACCAGCAGTACAAAGTAGTAGAAACAATCTACCTCTTTTAATGGAGAAAATATGAACTACTATTTATAGCAGCAGAGCTGACTTAATTATCTACAATAACAAACCAAGTGCAAAACAGAAAAAAATTATCTACCTATATATACAGGACCAAAAACAAAATTAAAAAAATATTTTAGAGTATGCAACCAATTAACAGTACTAAAAAGGATCTTGCTTAGGCTTCTGATATAATGTATTAAGATTTAACGGGCATATAAAAATTGGCATTTGGAGAAAAGGTATGGTACAAGGCAGGAAATGTAAAATAAAAAATTTTTAATGGTAAACATAATAGATAATACAAAGAGGTAATCAAAAATTAACTATATTTTTACTTCATTAATGAAATATCCTATTTACAATGTTAGCATTTTTAATTACGAAGGAGTCTTAAAATGGTTAACATACTTATGAAGTAAATATTACACATCAAACGTAATTACTATTTACCTTTGAGACAGTGGGTACTTTGTTTTCTTTTGGAGCAGTGAAGTGTTTTCTTTTCTCTTCTGATCTGTACGTTTTTATTTCTTCTTCTCCCTTTGCAGTTCTCCATTCTTCTTGCCTACTGAAAGAGGATTAAAAGCCACATGTTAATCTAGAATTTTTATAACTGATTTCTAACCTAAAGGAATATTAGTGTCAGAGAGGAAATTCTACTCCCAATCTTTTCTTTTGAGATGAAGGTATGTGACAAAGATTTCTGAGTAAATTCATAGATTACGTGCTCTGGACATTTGGCATTAAATGACTGAAACATTGGAAAAACAAACTTTGACTAAATGAACTTGATACTACTGGTTCTGGTGTGTTTTTTGCAAACAAAGTATTAGATTCCGGAAACATGGTTATACTTTTGAGATAACTGCCCCCGGGGTTAGAAATTGTATTTTGTAAATATTTTATCAGGGTAGATTTATGCTGTGATAATCTTGCATGCCATATAAAGAGCTAGAATCTTAAAAAAGGTGGGGTGGGACACAACAGAACCTTCAGATTGATCTAAATATAACTCCTAAAGTCCTGAAAGAACTATGTTCTCTCCAGTGAAAGGCAGGTCAGGCTATATCAACTACTGAAAAACTTTAACTCTATCTAGAAATCAAGCTGAAATTGAGCAATAGAAAAAGCTGAGTTAACATTAACTGTGAATTGTAATTTCATGAAACGTGAACTCACAACGACAAGAGAATTTTACTTTTTACTTTAAATACTTCACAATTTTCAAGTTTTTGAACTGCAAAGGTATTGATCTTTGAACTATAATTTTTCCTGGAGATTTCACAGTTGGGAGTTTATACTCAAATTTGGAACAGCTCTAAAAGGTTAATTTTCTTTTTAGTATGGTATGTTAATGTCATTTTACTTAACTGTAAAAATCTCTATTGCAGCTGATCTTAATTCTGAATGGAAAATGAGTTATTTAAATCTTATGCAAAGAATGGCCTTGATTTATTAGTTCTTGACAATTTGTGTTTTTTTTAAGTAAATGTTTTGTTGAGATCATTGCAATTCATATACAGTTGTAAGAAATAACCGAGATTCCTTATATTCTTTACCCAGTTTCTTCCAATGCTGTTATCTTGCAAAATTATAGTATAATATCACAACATGGATGTTGACATTGATCAACTTATCAATATTTAGAAGTCCCCAGTTTTACTTCTGCTCATGTGTTGTGTGTTTTTACTTCTACTCAAGTTTATCATATGTGAAGGTTTATGTTTCCATCACTGCAGTCAAGATACAGGAACATTTTCATCACCATAAAGATTCTTAGTGCCCTTTAGGGTGGGATGGATCACACCCATCTTTATCTCCTCCTCAGCCCTTCCTCCCAACCCCCCAGTGGCTAACAATTACTAATATGTTATCTATCACTATACTTTTTGTCATTTCAAGATTAGTCCATAACCCTCAATACTGATTTTTCACTCAGCATAATACCCTCAAAAGTCATTCAAGTGGTTCTAGCAATAGTTTGTTTCTTTATTGATAGTAGAGTAGTATTTCATGGAGTGGATACACCAGTTTGTTTAACCACACACCTACTGAAGAAGATCTCAGTTGTTTCTAGGTTTTGGCTATTACAAATAAAGCTACTATATATTAGTGTACAAATTTTTGTGTGAACCTGAGCTTTAATTTTTTTGGAATAAATCCCTAAGACTATAATCACTGGTAATTGCATATTTAGATTTTTAAGAAAGTTCGAAACTATTTTTCAGAGTGTCTGTACCATTTTTTACATTACCATCAATAATACATGAGTGATCCACAGTTTCTCCAAACCTCTCTAGCATTTGGTGCTGTCACTATATTTTAGCCATTCTGATAGGCATAGACAAATTATTTAATTGAGGTTTCAATTTGCATTTCACTAATGGCTAATGATGTTCAATATCCTTTCATGTGCTTATTTGCCATCTGTATATTCTGATAAAATGCCTATTCATGTCTTTGTCCATTTTCTGATTGAATTGTTTTGTTTACTGTTGAGTTGAGAGTTATTTATATATTATAGATATTAGTCCTTTGTTGGCTATGTGTTTAGATTTAATTTTAATTAACCTACTATTCTTACTCATTTAAGAGCCTTCCAGGGACAAACTTTAACCTACCTACCCAAAGGGTATATAGCCCAGGAAGACTGTCAAAGGAAGAGTACTATCATATTTTCAGTACTATAAGACACACTGGACCATGAGATGCACCTAGGTTTTTAAGGAGGAAAAGGGGAAAAAAATTTTGAAGCAAAAAATGTGGTAAAATACTTAATAACCTGTGACCCCACTCCACTGCTGCCCCCCCAAGTGAGCCAGGTAAGCTACATTTGGACTATAAGATGCACCCCCCTTTTCCTCCCAAATTGGGGGAGTGCATCTTATAGTCCTAAACATGGTAAGTTTTGGTGGCAAAGTTCCAGGAAGGTCAAACATCCTAAGTAATGGTCATAGCCTTGCTTGCACATAACCTCAATAGTTAAGCCCAATTGAAAAAAAAAAAAAAAAGATTAAAAGGAGAAAGACATTTGGAAAGAAACAAATATTCCCCATTCCTCACATTTCCTTCCTTGTACAGGAACCTCTAACAACAACTAGCAACCCACTCTTGGCCTCCTTTCACTTTCTACTTATTTTTCTCCAAGAGAGAAGTGAACTAATTCTGGAAGAAAAAAATCAGCTTAGCAAGGTGTATGTTCTGCTCTGCCTTTTAAAGAAGTAAACCAGCTGCTTCTCCATGGGGAGAAATACCATAGCCGAGTGTTACCTGTGTTTGGGGTTCGACATTAGAAAGCACACTTTCATGCAGGTAAAAGCCACAATGTTCACAGCTGAGTCAATAAAAAAAAACTAATACTGTGATTTTCTGTCTGTCTTATTTTTGTGTGTTTTCAATTACTTCAGAACTATTGTTTAAAAGATGGGTGTTATAGAGTCGCAGGTTTGATTCCCAGTCAGGGTACATGCCTGGGTTGCAGGCCATGATCCCCAGCAACCGCACACTGATGTTTCTCTCTCTCTCTCTCCCTCTCTCTCTCTCTCTCTCTCTCTCTCTCTCTCTCTCTCTCTCCCTTCCCTCCCTAAAAATAAATAAAATCTTAAAAAAAAAAAAAGATGGGTGTTGTTTATTGCACACCCCTCAAATCCTAACATCAGAATTAAAAAGTGAACAGGAATCCAACTAAAAACATAACGAGAGTTACTTTTTATTAAGGACAACTGGGAACATTTTTCATCAAATAGTTACTTTTTAAATTTATACTGTAGGTGTATATTTAATCCTACCCTAAAACAAATCTGATGTATTGTCCAATCAAAAAACACAATCTATATAAACATTCACATTCAAAAGTATTTATTTTAATTATAGATGCTCCTCAATTTACAATAGGGTTACATCCTGATAAATCCCTCATAAGTGAAAATACTGGAAGTTGAAAATGCATTTAATACACTTAAACTACCCAATATTATACTTTGGCCTAGCCTATATTAACCATGCCAGAATGCCATACAAAAAAAAAAAAAAAAAAGCCTGCTGGCAACATAGACTATAGATTGTTTACCATCATAACTGCATGCCTGATGGGGAGCTGCGACTCACTGCCTCTGCCCAGCCAGCATCATGAGCAGATTTTGTACTACATATCGCTAGCCCGAGAAAAGATCAAAATTCAAAATTTGAAGTATGTTTACTACTAAATACAAATCATTTTCACACCATTGTAAAGTCAAAAATATCTTAAGTTGGGAAATGTTTGTACATAACTACTATTATGTTTTGAGTTTAAGAACCAGAAAATCCTAAAATCAAATTAACATTTTGATCTTGATTTTTTTTCTTAGTTATTGTATGCAGTGAGTAATGACTGGGTTTAGATGGACCACATCCATGAATATTTCATTACTGAAGAATCAAAAAATACAAAATATAAAGTTCCCTAATAGCATGAACCTCAAGAATAAGATGATATCAAATAATACTTTTAAATTTACACAGGTATATATTTAAATATAAAAATAACCGTTTTATTATATAAAATATTTATATACTGTAGTATTACCAATGTAATTTTCACTACATCTCTGAATGATGAATAAAATCCATAAAAAACTTAATTATAACAAACTTATGATGTGTTTTAAGCTACAGTTAAATAAGAAAAATTGAGATTTAAATATGCTACTCAATAAATTTCCTATCTGGTCATCCAAATTTTTTATTTCCCCCTATGCCCCTTAACACATCCTCCTCTCATATTCTTTACGTGAATCATTCTAGAAAAGAACATATATTGAAATTTAATTTTTTCTCCAGTCATGAACAGTTTAAAATACTAGTTTTTTCAGATAAATTTAAAATAAATTACCAAGCTGAAAAGGTACTTTGAAGACTATAATTAAAAATGAACACAAACAACTATGGAATATAAAAATTCACAACCCCACTTACCTTGCTACACCAGCAGAAAGCTCAGGTACTACCACTCTCCGACTCCATGCTACAAGATCCCGCTCTGTGGCTATTTCACTCCTTGGTGCATTGCTGTGCATTTGTCGTACCCCTTCAATTTGTCCACTACGCCTTAGCCCTATATTTGGTGGTGAATGAACCTCTGAGGTAGAGCTTAGAGAACCTAAATGAAAAATATAATAAGTTCTATTTAGAGATACTTCTCCATTATCTTACAAAAGAAGGAAATTTATACAATCCTCAATGTGAAATTTCATATTTTGGCAAATAATAAATTGTCAAATCAGGAGCTAAACCACAGGCAAAAGCTTAATAAAAACAAAACATATTAATTCAGTTGACTAGGCATGTTAATGAATAATTATTGACTGTTAAGGTGGGAAGGTATAAAACAATTACTTTAAAAAATGCTCACCATTTACTTTGGGGGAAACTATATTAGAAGCAGAAACAGACAAACTCAAGGACGTTTATGTCCACAAATTTTCTTTAACATTTTTTCCTAAAGTTTAATAACATACAACAAAGGTGATTAGATGTCTCAGAATGTGGCTTTGAATACATTTCATAAATTATTAAATAAATTTATTTTAAAATTTTTCCTTAGCTCTAGTTATAGGAAATTTGGAAGAATATATATATTAAAAATTCATTATCTATAGTTTAAAACCTTACACTAAGAACATTTTCTTAGGTCATTAAATATTCTTCAAAACACGATCATTTTGGCTGCCTAATACTGCATTATACAGATGTAAATACTTTGTTTAATCTCTTCTCTACTGTTGAAGGTTTAGGCTGTTTCAGCTTTTTTAATGTCCCACCTAAAAGAATCACATCTTACCTCTACTTAAACGGCTGGCATTATTGATACTTCCTTCACCAGAACGTCTCAGGTCTTGCTCCAGTTGTAGTCTTTGAATCATGCTGTCCAATGGGCTGATGTCTTGATTTGCTTGCTGACTTAAAACTTGGTTCAGTCCTGTGTAATAACACACAAAATGCTAAGGATACTTTAGTCAACTATTGAAACCATTTCACTCACTTATCTCACTTTGAGTCCAGAAGTAAATGTAAATTTTGCTTGCATAAAAGACCTAAAATTATCAATGGGAAATGATGGAAGTAAATGGAAACATGTCCTCCTCAATCTTAATTTGTTAAAAACAAAAATTATGATTATACCTGAGTGTTTATCATGATTCAGGCACTCATGAAATCATTTAAAAACTCACTTAGGTAAATATAATGAACTCCAGCTGGCACGTAAGAAAATCAAAATAACTACTTAAAGTCAGTAAGAGCAGGACTTAATCTTAGATCATAGCTTTTTTTTTAAGACAAATCTGATTACCCAATTTCACAAAAGTCTTTACTGGTTAATTTATTCAACAAACTCTTGGATATCTACTAGTATCTACTATGTGCTAGGAAATATGCCAAAGAACTGAGGATCCAGGAATGAGTAGGAATCATCAGGTTCTTGACCTTCATAAAGCTATTTAATACAGAAACTGAACAATGAATTAATACATAAATACAGATTATAAAAAATGTTAATGATGATGCTGAGAAAGAAATAAGGAAGAGAGATGGAAACTATCTATGGTGAGTCACAAAGGTCAAAGGAGCCCTCTTTGAGAAGGCAGCATTTGAGCTAACAAAGAAAAAGATAAAATCCTCAACAAAATATTGTGAACCATATTCAGCAATACATTAAAAAGACCATACACCATGATCAAGTGAGATTCGTCCCAGGGATGTAAGGATGGTACAATATTCACAAATCAATAAATGTAATATATCACATAAACAAAAAAATAAAAATCACGTGCTCCTATCAATAGATACAGAAAAAGTATTTGATATGGTACAGCACCCATCTATGATAAAAACACTTGGCAAAATAGTAGAGGGAGAATACCTTGACAAAATAAAGCCCATATACGAGAAATGTACATCCAACATCATACTCAACAGGCAAAAAATAAAAGCTTTCCTACTAGGATCAGGAACAAGACAAGGTGTCCACTTTCACCACTTCTATTTGACATAGTACTGGAAGTTCTGGCCACAGCAATCAGACAAGAAAATGAAATAAAAGGCATCCAAATTGGAAAGAAGGAAGTAAAACTGTCACTGTTTGCAAATGACATGACAGTGTACATAGAAAACCCTATATATTCAACCAAAAAACTACTTGATCTAATAAGTGAATTTGGCAAAACAATGGGATGCAAAGTCAATATTTGGAAATTGAAGGCATTTTTCTATACCAACAATGAAATATCAGAAACAGAAATCAGGAAAAAAATCTCATTTGCTATAGCAACAAGAAAAGTGAAGTACCTAGGAATACACATAACCAAGAAAGTAAAAGACCTGTACTCAGAAAACTATAGAACACTGAAGAAGAAATTAAGGTGCAAACAAATGGAAGCATATACGGTGTTCGTGGATTGAAAGAATTAACATCATCAAAATGTCCATACTACTCATAACAATCTATAGATTCAGTTCAATCCCTATTAAAATACCAATGGCATATTTCACAGATACAGAACAAACATTTCAAAAATTTATATGGAACCATAAACAACCCCGAACAACTGCAGCAATTTTGAAAAAGAAGAACAAAATAGGAAGGATCACAATACCTGATATCAAATGTTATTATAAGGCCACGATAATAAAATGTCTGGTACTGGCATAAGAACAGACACATAGATCAGTGGAACAGAATAGAGAGCCCAGAAATAAATCCACGTCTCTATGATCAATTTATATTTGACAAAGGGGGCAGGAGCATAAAATGAAGTAAATATAGCCTCTTCAACAAATGGTGTTGGGAAATCTGGACAGTTACATGCAAAAAAATGAAACCAGACCACCAACTTACACCATACACCAGAATAAACTCAAGATGGATAAAAGATTTAAATATAAGTTTGACACCATGAAAATGCTAGAGAAAAACATAGGTAGGAAAATTTCAGATATCCCACGCAGCAATATTTTCACTAATATGTCCCCTACAACAAGGAATATAAGGAAAGAATAAACAAGTAAGACTACATCCAATTGAAAAGCTTCCGCATAGCTAAAATGAAAAGGGAACCAACCATAGATGAAAATATACTTGCCAACTATACCTCGGACAAGGGTTTGATCTCCAAAATATATAAAGAACTCACACAACTCCACACCAGGAAGACAGACAATCCAATTAAACAATGGGCAAAGGACCTGAACAGACTCTACTTCTCCCACGAGGACACACAGAGGGGGCCCAAACACGTATGAAAGGATGCTTAGCATCACTAGCCATCAGAGGGATGCAAACTAAAACCACAATGAGATACCACTTCACACCAATCAGAATGGCTACCACAAACAAAGCAACAAACAGTGCTAACAAGGATGTGGAGAAAAGGGAACTCGAGTGCACTGTTGGTGGGAATGCAGACTGGTGTAGCACTGTGAAAAACAGTATGGAATTTCCTCAGAAAACTAAAAATGGACCTGCCTTTTGACCCAGTAATTCCACTGCTGGGATTATACCCTAAGAATCCTGAAACACCAATTCAAAAGAACCTATGCACCCCTATGTTCACAGCAACACAATCTACAATAGCCAAGCGCTGGAAACAGCCTAAATGCCCATCAGTAAATTAGTGGATACAAAAACTGTGGTACATTTACATAATGGAATACTATGCAGCAGAAAGGAAGAAGTAACTTCTACCCTTTGCAAGAGCATGGATGGAACTGGAGAATATTATGCTAAGTGAATAAGCCAGGAGGTGAAAAACAAATACCATATCTCACCTATAAATGGAACCTAATTAACAAAACAAACAAGTGAGCAAAATAGAACCAGAGACCCGGAAAGAAAGAACAAACTAACAGTGACTGGAGTGGTGGGGGAAGGAGGATAATGGGAGAAAGAAGGGGAAGGGTCAAGTCAAGGAACATATATAAAGGACACATGAACAAAGACAATGGGGGGTTGGATGAATGTGAGGGGGGTAGGGCAGGGAAGAGTAATGGGGAAAATATGGAGACAACTGTAATTGAACAACAATTAAAATTTCTTTTTAAAAGTGGAAGAAAAAGAATTAGTCATCCATATGAGGACCTAGAAAAAGAACACTCCAGATAGAAGGCTGAGTCAACATAAAGACTTTGAGGTAGGGAGAAACTTAGGGTGTTTTAACCCACTCTACTTTTTCAGCATCAACTCTCATCTGTACCAGTCCTACAGGACTACTTGACTCTTACTGTTCTAATAAGTAAACACTTTCCTGTTTTGGAACTTTAGACCACAATACTTCCACTTCGAGGATACATGTGATAAACACTAACTTATCCTTCAAGCACCAACTAAAATGGCATCTCCATGACATTTCATATGTGAAATCTTTCCAAAGTATCCCTGAAAAGAGGAGCTGCTATCCTCTTTCATTTCATCAAATAATAGGTACATGTATTAGTGCTCAGCCCAATGTAGAATGAAAACCTACTAGATAGTTCCTCAAGCATGGATTGGCTTACTTATCTTAATATTCTACTTCTAAATCTAGCAGAAAGCTAGGAATATAAATATGTTTAATCCTGTTGAATGAATAAAAAGTGTTTAAGTATTATGAGATATAAGAAAGCATTGACATGAGAGTAGAGAAGGTAACAATTAATATCAGGTGTGAGAATATAGATTTGATGAGACTGGACTTTTAGAGTAAGCTGGGAAAAGTTGTTACAAAAGATATTATGTAATAAAGTACACTAATGGAGGTACAAAGAAAGAGGAGGAAAATGCATGTACTAATCACATAATGTTATATAAGAGAAAACTAAAATTCAATGCGTAAAAAAAGTGTCCATGATCAGAAAGCTAGAAAGTGGTAGAAGCTGACAGAGGTAAAAGTTAAAATGATTGTGGAATCTTTCCCAATATACTGCTGGCAAAAAAATCACATGTCAACACTGATGAGTAATTTGATATAGTTCATGTTTACAACATTTAAAGTATTATCCAAAGGGGACAGCAACATAAAATGGGGTAACAATAGCCTCTTCAACAAATGGTGTTGGGAGAACTGGACAGCTACATGCAAAAAAATGAAACTCGAGCACCAACTTACACCATACACAAAAATAAATTCAAGGTGGATAAAAGATTTAAATATAAGCCATGACACTATTAAAGTCCTAGAGGAGAACATAGGTAGGAAAATCTCAGATATTACACACAGCAACATTTTTACTGATATGTCCCCCAGAGCAAAGGACATAAAGGAAAGAATAAACAAATGGGATCTCATCAAAATAAAAAGCTTCTGTACAGCTAAAGAAAACAGTATTAAAATAAAAAGAGAACCAACTGTATGAGAAAATACATTTGCCAATGATACCTCAGACAAGGGTTTAATCTCCAAAATATATCAAGAGCTTACACAACTCTAGTCTAAGAAGACAAGCAACCCAATTAAAAAATGGGCAAAGGACTTGAACAGATACTTCTCCAAGGAGGACATACAGAGGATCCAGAGACACATGAAAAGATGCTCAATATCAGAGAGATGCAAATTAAAACCACAATGAGATACCACTTCACACCAGCCAGAATGGCCATCATAAACAAAGCAACAAACAATAAGTGTTGGAGAGGTTGTGGAGAAAAAGGGACCATAGAGCACTGTTGGTGGGATTGCAGACTGGTACAACAACTATGGAAAAACAGTATGGAATTTCCTCAGAAAACTAAAAATAGATCTGCCTTTTGACCCAGCAATTCCACTGGGATTATATCATAAGAGCCCTGAAACACCAATCCAAAAGGACCTATGCACCCCAATGTTCATAGCAGCACAATTTACAATAGCCAAGTGTTGGAAGCAACCTAGGTGCCCATCAGTAAATGAATGGATCAAAAAACTATGGTACATTTACACAATGGAATTCTATGCAGCAGAAAGAAACAAGGAGCTCCTACCCTTTGCAACAGCATGGATGCAACTGGAAAGCATTATGCTAAGTGAAATAAACCAGGCAGTGAAAGGCAAATACCATATGATCTCACCTTTAATAGGAACCTAATCAACAAAACAAAGAAGCAAAATATAACCAAAGACACGGAAATTGAGAACAGATTGACAGTGACTAGAGGGGAGAGGGGAGGGAACTTCAGGGGAATATCAGGGGAAAAGGGGAAGGCTTTACAGGAACAAGTATAAAGGACACATGGACAAAAACCAGGGGCAGGTGGAAATGGGAGAGAGGTTGTAAGGGCTGGGTGGGTGGGTTGGGATGGGAGTAAAAGAGAATTGTACTTGAACAATAATTAAAATAAAAGTATTATTAAAAAAAATATATACTGTCCAGCGTAAATATAACAGAACTGCAGTCAAACCTATTCATTATTATAATATCCATCCATCGTCTATTTTTACCTAACTCTTAATTTTCAAAAATAAATTTTATTATATATCTAAATTAGCAAATAGAAATATAGTTAGATATGATGCTGAGGTTTTCAAAAAGTATTTGTCTTTTGTTCTATTTCTGTACTAAGTGTTAATGAAAGAAGTAATATTTACCCTGAATTCTGTGATGTAGAACACTTAAAAATTCAGTGACTCACTTTGAAGCCATAATTATTGCTATGGGATCTCTTGTGGCCTTGTACTAATAACCGGTATTTATCTCATTTTCAAGATCAAGCCCACTTTTTACTCTTAAGGCCAGCTTAGTATGGAAGAAAGAAAAATAGACTGCAAGTCAGGCTGGGTTTGAGTCTGTAATTCCACGTACTTTACCTTGAACAAGACACAATGTTTTCATTTTCTACACTTTTAGAATTGAGATACTATAGTTATATGGATTAAATGAGATTATTTATTTCATTCCATTCCTTTAAAACTTAAACAGAGGAAAAAAGTAAATATCACATTAACTAAGTAGCAGTATATTTTAATAAATGAGTCCTTTCCTCATTTCTTTGCACCTGAAATCCCAACCTAGGTATCTATTGAGACATGGGAAAGATCTGATTCTTGCCAGTTCCCCTTCCTAGAGATTGAAGGCATTTATCTTAATTTCAGTCCTATTACCAAGGTTTCTCTAATAGCTGAGATTTCTCTAATCTGAGATTTCTCTAATAACTTCTCTAATAACTGAGATTTCTCTAATCTGAATGCCTGCCTAGACTTCTTGAATGCTATGTATTCTTAGATTCTTTGAGTCCATGCTGTGTCAATGTATTAAGCCAATTTAATTTCACATACTCCAGATATTTAGGTCTGTTGGACCATACTACTTTCTATGAGTAGCAGCAGAATATTCCTTTAATGATTCTCCTCACCCTTCATCCCAAGTGGGCATGTCTTAATTCCAAGGGCGGCCCTTCCTAACCAATAATGTCCATCTATATGGCAATTTCATGCCAAATTCTTTAAGAAAAAATAAGAAGTGGATTCTCTATAATGCAATGATACTGGTTTTTCTGTGCTGCTTACAGAATCTAAATTCATTATTTTCAAATTATTCATTATGTATTATGTCCCATATGTGTCTTTTAAATCTACTGGTTCATTATGCTAGAGTCAAGAACTTAATATATTTTCCTAAACATTTTTATAATCTAAAATATAACAGAAAGATTCATAAATTCAAAACTGGTGTCAACTTCTTTAAAGAGTCCATTATTTTCATTTAACAAATTAGTGCTACATTTCTTTTCAAATGAGGGGAAGAAGGTGTCTATATACCTTGCTTCCATTTAAACTCCCATTCGACCAATATCACCGCAATAAATTAAAAAAAAAAATCTCATTCAATACCATAACTCATTTGGCATTCACCCTCCTTTATTTCACTAATAGTTCTCAACTCTTTTCATTCTTATCTTGTATAAGCCTTTAAGTTGATCACTTGCTCTGGCTGGTGTAGCTCAGTGGATTAAGCGCGGGCTATGAACCAAAGTGTCCCAAGTTCGATTCCCAGTCAGGCCACATGCCTGGGTTGCAGGCCACGGCCCCCAGCAACCACACATTGATGTTTCTCTCTCTCTTTCTCCCTCCCTTCCCTCTCTAAAAATATATAAATAAAATCTTAAAAAAAAAAAGTTGATCACATTTTTAAACAATCTTCAATGTGAATAGGCTATGTATTCTTAGTTTCTTTCATATAACACTATTATCCTCTTAATATCACAATTTTAAACCACATCTATTTATAACTGTGTTTATTAATCTAACTAATCCGTAATAGCAAGGAGTATGTCTGTTTAATTCACTACTGAATAACACAGTTTAGCAGGTGTCAGGGACAGAGGATATTCTCAAAATATGTTGCTGAACAAATAAATAAGTTGATTTATTTCATATCAAATACAGGAACGTATCCTTTTAGTCTCAAGGTTATAAATGGATATAGACAAAATTCTTGCCTTCAATCTTCAAAGTTCTTAATCATCTTGCAATACTTAAGTATTATTTAAAAAACTTCAAATGAATAAACTAATGGCAGTAAGAGGGAAGGAAGGAAAGGTGACTGTTGGAAAGAAGGTGAAGGGTTTAGTCAAGGAACATATATGAAGGAGACATGGACAATGGGTTGGGGATCGACTATGGAAGTGTGGGGGTGGGCTGAGTGGAGGGAGGCAAAGGGCAAAATAATTGGAACTATAAAACAAAAATAAAAAATAAACTTCAGAGAAGTTAGAAAGTAATGCTACTTCTCATTTGTTTAAAACAATTAAAAGCAAAGTGTTACCCTATTAACAATCTTATAAAATTTCACCAGGAAAAGAAAAATGTGGTTGACCATGAAAATGAGCATTTACCTGAGGAAGTTACTCCCATCTGAGGGATTAGCTGCTCTTCCCTGCAATTTTCACGACCAGGAACTAATCTCTGGTATCTTGATGGATGAGGGTTACCATCAACATCAACCAAAAAAGGGGGAGGCATGAGATGAGGTGCTTGCTGAGTCTGTTCATCTAACACAAAATTGTTGGCATCACGAATAAGGGGCCGATAATCACTATGAAAGAACATCTGATCTGCTATCTATAAAAAGAAAGGACCATAAAAGATTGAAAATATAAAAATTTATCATTATAAACTTCTAATAGAAAGCAAACATTTTAAACACATTAAGCAACAATATTCTTTTATGATCAGAAAAGAAGCTACTTTGAATTTTATCTGGAACAAGAAAGATTGTTTACATACAAAATTGGTTACATAATTTCAAATGTTATGATAAAATCATATCTAGGTATAAATTTTCCAGCAGCACTATTACTTTTACACAGCTGCCATGCTTTACTTACTTTTTAATTACTAAATGTGGCAATTTGTTTTACATTTTTGCAAAGAAAAATCATTAATTAAACTCTGAATTAAACTTTTTAATGACATCACTTACACAATTTAAGAAAATCCTGAAGTTTACAGTAAAAATAGTTTAAGACCCATGCCTGATATATCTGTAACTTCAGATTTTACTGGTTAATTTGGAATTTCTTAAACTAAACCATGAGCTATGAAATTTCTATAACATTTTATATCACTCTATTGCAAACAGCAATTTAAATCTTTTCATCACTAATCTTAGTCTTTAATATTTAAAGTCATTAGCTATCATTAGTATGCCATATATTTTTGAGAGCCACATAAAAGCCAGATTTGTAGCCAGATAAATGCTTATCACCCACATAAATAAAATATTTTACATCATTTCAGAGTCCCTTTATGAATATAATATAGCCATCCCCAGCTTATATGCTTGAACTTTAAGAACTGCAACCTATATTGCTCTAGAAGGCTAAGTAAGTATAAAGTTATTCCTTCTGAAATATACAGATTATATTTATACTTATTTAAATAAGATTTAATTATTATCTAATGTCTATTACAGAAAAAAGATCTAAAACCACTTGTCTTCACCCTCTTCTCCAAAATTTAAGTCTTCAGACTATTTAATATATGATTCTTCTATATGTTGATATATTCTTCAAATACGCTGGAAGCATAAATGATTCCCACCCAGTTTCCACCCCAAAATGCAATAATTAAACATACAGGAATTAAACAAAATAAGGAAAAGATAATATAGTCATTACACCCTACCTTGTCATATTTGCTACTGGAGCCAAAGCCAAAAATTAAAAGATGTCCATGAGAGTCTGTGCATGCAAAATGCTGACCGTCGGGAGAGCATTTGCAGTCAAACACTGCACCATGTCCTTGGCCTTCAATCTGAAATGTATTTAACCAGCAATCAAAACATTGCCATTAAAAAATAAAAAACTGGTCACTATTATTACTAGAATTTTATGATGATATGTAAGTATACATCCTAATGAAGTGAAGAAGTATAACACAGTGCAGTAACAATGTTTGTGAATATTTATGAAAAGTGCCAGATTAATAGTTTTGAAAAATAAATTGTTCTATTTATCCACAGACCAGATACGATTCAGGAAATAACACTACCAATCTCCCCCACCCATAGAATTCTGCTTCATGTCTTTGACCCAGACTTAAGAATGTAATTGTGCCTTATATTCCATCTTATCTGCACTTAATGAAGCTTTTTCAGCAAAGGCTGACAATGTGTAGTAACGATAGCATTTTTTTTTGGTAACTCTTGGAAGTAGTAGCCAGAGATCACTGCTTACAAGACACTATTTTTTTTTCCTTTTGGTAACAAGGTCCCTTGATGGTCTGATTCATATTTTAAATGGTGAATTTCAAAGGTTAAATAAAAGGTTTTTTTTACCTGATAATTGTTTTCTGTTTTCCAGTTCCATTAATCCAGAACGAATGGGTTTCTCCCTGCAACCTGTCAATCAAACAGAGGTGGCCAATCACCACTCTGAATTTTTTTGCTCTCAGTGCTTCTTCAGACTATGTTCCAGTTGAAAACTTCTTTAGCAGTGTTCTGAAAGAGGTAAAAATTCTACCCTATCTAAAGCACATCTAGGGACTGAATTTCAGAAAGAAATTAAAATAGGGAGTTGACTCCCTAACAAATAACAACTAAGGATGATTTTCAACAAATGCGATTGGATTTCTGGATTAGCAGAATCGGAACACGCACATTATCAGGTAAGAAATACCTCCTCTCTGTTCCGGTATCCACTGATCTAGAACAAATTGAATTTTATTAGTAATATCCCAGTATCCCTTGGAAATGCTTGGAAAAGAGAGAAGTGGTAATCTTCTTTCTTTAGTGTTAAAAATATGGCATAGAGATGAACGTGCAATTCACCAAATACAGAAGTGAAATTAAAATTTAGAAAAAGAACAGCTGATTTCTCAAGGAAAGTTACATTTTGGCAAACAGAGAAAACATCACTTTAAAAAGAAGGGTTCTCCCTAATACATTTAGAGCAGCACAAATAAGATTTCCTCAAAACAAACAAACAAAAACAAAAAACAAAAAAGAAAGCCCAACAATGAACAAACAAACAAAAAAAAACCCACCAGTTTTTCCTTTAGTTTGCTGGAAAGAGAAGAAACAAACCCACTGGTGTTTATTAATGCTGTTTTGGATAAAGATAATAATGAAAAAGAAGTAACTTTACTAGAAATTTAAACATGTGAAAGAAATTTTGTGAATTTATCTAATGTTTACTATGCTTGAAGATTTCCCCAAAAAAGGAAGAAATTGAATCCTAAGTGAAACAGGATCATTTCTTGGTTGTGAAGAAAGTTGAAGAACAAGACCCCAGGGGAAGAAAATTCCAAGTCCCTTAAAACTATTTAAAGACAAGAAAGAATATAACTATTTCTCCAGATAACACACAGGCACTAATAACTATATAAGTTACTATTTGCCAAAATTGAAAGACTGTAAGAAATGTCAGAATTCAAGCTTCTATTTTTTCTGTTTTTCAGGAGAATAAAAAGGTAAATGAACTGTTGTAAGTAAGGAACCACATCAACAAAGTTTACCTCTAAGTAGAAGTCAACATAAAAAATTCAAGGTAAAGAATTTAAATTGCACTGACCATGTGTTGTTGGATGTTTTATTTATCTTGGTTCACTAACTTTCAGAGAAGAAAAAACACAACTACTTTATAAATATAGTCTAACATAATAAATGCTTCTAGAACTAATATTATTTTGAGTCTAAATTTATAATTCTAAGGATGCAGAACTCAGAGGAAATTTGAAGGAAGTCTTACTCAGCAATGCCAAAGAGTATCTGACAGAAATTCATAAGCAAGGTATCCTTCACATGATGTTTAGACAATCTTGCTCTACATTTTTGGGGGGTTGTGGAGGAGGCAGTGTGAGGAGTAATCAACCCTACAATCATGCTATCTACCAATGTTGCCACATTTACAGTTCATAGATCTCTTTAAAAAAATACCTGGGAGACATGAAACTTACAAAACTCTAAAAAAAAAATCAAAGAAAAAATAGCAATCCTATTGAAGATCACTATGTTTCCTATATAACATATGCCATTGTGAATATATCAAGATGGTACCAATTTTCCTTGTGCAAGGAATCTGCATAACTTCAAAGTGAATTTTACATGGAAGAAAATGAAAGTGTATTTCAGTAAAATCAGAAAACAGAAAATACATTATAATATATTTGGCTTAATCTTACTCATTATAGAAGACATTGAAAGTATCTGCATTGCACAGAAACCAATCAGAAAAAGTGCATGACTTTGTTCATTAAAATGCGAAATTTATCTTAGGTAATGGCTCCTCAGATAACCAACACCTATAACAAAATGTAGACTAGGCTTTTTAGTTGATATAAAACAGGAAAATATTTTACTTTCCTTATATACTAAATATACCCTGTTTTTATTATTTATGCTATGCTAAAACAAACCAAAGAAAAGGATAAATATTTCTCTCTGAAAAAAGTTTCATTTTCTTAAACAGGGGTCAAAGTATTTGTAAGAGCTCTGAAAGAAAAAATTTAATGCAATTATTTTAATATGTTATGTGTAACTGAAAAGCAGTAAGGTTTATATTTAAAAACCAAAAGGAAAAAATATCCTCTCCATCCATATTAAAATTAGGCCTATTATGAAATTAAATGCACTGCTTAACAAGAGAATAAGTCAATATAATTTTAGATGAATCAATCCTAACAAAATTAAGTATGCTTGCTAAACATTAGAGAAATATTAATAATCACCACATAATAAAAATTGAACACAGTAAATCACAATAAAAGCTGATAAAATCCAAGAGACAGTATTTACTAAATAGTGCAAATACTTTAAGAGTAGAAGGTAAAAGAAACTATATAAAAATATATTCAGATTATGAAAAAGAAGTTTTCTGTTTTGTTTTTTTTAAAGCAAAAGATGAAAGAACAGACAAATTAAAATAATTGACTCCTTTGTAAGATAATTCTCATACTGACTAAAGAATGCTGGAAATATTTGCAAGAAATGATGATGATAGAAGTGTCATATTTAATGAAGAATATTGGTATCTTTTCAAGTCAGAATACTATCCACAATTTCTAATCTAATTTTTGTTAAGTGGAAAGATGATTACGTAAGGAAACAGAGGAATGAGGCCCAAGACCCAAGAGATCTTTCCTCTAGTAATGAGCAAATCACCTAGTCTGTGAAATGATAATTTAAATGATCTTTAGAGTCCTATCTAGTTCTAAAGTCCTCATATCTAATATTTGGGAAGGTTTTTTTGGAAGAACTGAACAATTCTAGAATGAAGAATATATTATAGGGTCTAAATTTATATCAATCATGAGAAACACACATACCACTGAATATGAGACGTATGTACTCCATGAAGGAAAACAATACAAATCAGGAGGGTGAAAAATGAACTATCTTAAGCAGAATCATCCTGTTATGGAATTATCTGAAGTCTATGATCAGTATCAGTTTTTTTGGTCTCATCCACACTTTTAATATGCCATTGATTAGAAGGGAGCATCTTATCTAGAAAGTACTCCACTCCACAATTTAAAATTATAAGTCATTTAAAACACCCCAATAATTTTATGTGATAGACTCAGAAAGTCTTTCCTTATATATAAAGAACCTTCAAAGTCTATCAACCTGGGGGAAAATTAAGTTAAATTAAGAATGCACACTAGATTCTGAAGACGGTCAATATCATATGTATGATTAAAACATGCTTTGGCAACTTTCTAATTGTTATGATAGTTACAGTGTAAACAAATATATCTTAACAGAAGCTATCCACACTCTAATAGTCTAGGTGTCATCAAAGATCATTGCTAAATGTTTACTTTAATATTGAAAATTCTTTATGGTAACATGATTATATATATATGAATTAAAGACAGCTACTTAAAATAAGTGGTGCCAAGGTAAATTTACATATAAAGGAAACTGCTGTAACTGGCTTGATAAAACCAGTAGATACATAAAAGTGATTTCAAAGAATAAACTCTAATTTTCATAAAAAATACATTATCAAAAAAATAACTCATTTTCAAATTTAACAGCATTTTGCTTTACCATATTCTGATTTTTCTGAAGGAAGCAAGTCTTCCTTGAAATCTATTCTCCTCCTTTGGTCTCTCTTGACATGGTATCATACATACTCTATAGAGACTGTGATCTCCACCACCCTGCTAAATAATAATACTATTTCTAAAAGTTTTGTTTTAAGCCCTGTACACTGCCTTCTCTTCTCCATGAGGAAGTAAACATTACATGAAAGACTTTTAACATCTCTTTCTCTTTACTCCTAGCTTCTCTATGTATTCTATCTCCAAGTGCATGCTGGACATTTCTATAGAGTCCAATACTATATCACAGTAAACATAAAAATAAACTAAAAAAATCACTTTTCCTTCACATCTTATTTCTTCTAATATCAATGTTAACAAAATCACCAAGGCTCAGCACTCCCAACAAATTTATTAAATCTATCACATATTTATATATATACGTATTTTTATTTATTTCTTCCACAAATTTCCCCACTACCTACCTACCCCTTTAATTTTACATTATGATTTCAGTAATAAAAGTAGTTCTCTCCCCACTTATCCATTTTATATCTGAAATACTACTACTACTGGCATTCAAAATATTTTTAAGTTTATGAAATATAAATCTATTTGAGCAAAAATCACCAGTGTTAACTATTCTTTATGTTCACAAATTAACATAAGGCCATAAGTAATCCACCTCAACCTCATGCTTTTCATTTTATCAGCCATTTTTCAAAATCTGTTCCAGACAAATTTTGTAAACTGCTCTATGAACATGCCTT